TGGGGGGGTTGGGGGTGGGGGGGTTGATTAAAAATATAAAATAGCCAGACTTTCGGTGCATCATCCAAGTCTGTCACTTCTCCTCTTGTGAACCGCTCCGACACATCTGGACGGCTGGGCTCTGATCTTGGGGGGGTGGGGGTGAGGGTGGGGGGGGGGGGGGGGGGGGGGACAAAGGGTGACTCTCACGTCGGTCCTTTCTCTCAGCTCACCTCCGTGTGAGTCAGGCCTTCCTCTATCCCGAGAAACACTTCAGCTGCTGCTATGTGAACAGCTGCTTCTGTCTCAGCGCGTGTGTGCGTGTGTGTGTGTGTGTGAGAGAGTGTGTGTGTGTGAATGTGTGTGTCCGAGAGGGCCCAACCTCAGCAGCTGGGTGTGATTTTGCGTGCGTGTCGTCTGGGGGCTTCTTTCCTGTGGTCACACCTCGCTCTGACCAGTGGGAAACACGGACCCGGACAGCTGATGTCTCTGTTTAAAGGCAGGTAACGCGCCTTTTCTCTGCCAGTGCTCAGAATTTACTACCAAAACAAGGATTTTTTATTTTGATTTATAATTTTTTGGGGTGCATTTTCATCTATAAAGCAGACTGCCTTTCTGAGATCTGCGTTTTTCTTCATTTATAGAAAGTTTAAATTGTAAAATCCACTGATTGTGAATGAAGTCACGTGATAGGATAAACATATGTGGAGGTAGAGGGTTGTATTATAAATATGGTTCCAAATAGAAGATCTTCCTGAAAAACAGAAAATGAACATGTAAAAGCTATATTGCTCTGAAAGGATCAAGCTGACCCTCCATTTTTTAAAATAATTTACGTCCAGATAGTCTATGTTTCCTTTTTTAATTTTTATTTTATTTTCCGGCCTTTTAAACTGGTCATCATCTAATCTCTTGAGGGATTATTCAAGTTTTTCCTTTGAAAACCGTCTGGTTTTTCACTCATTTCTGACTAATTTCAGAGGAACGTGTATTTTTCCCTACTGAACTTTCTTACTCTGAATCATTCAAAAATAAATAAAGGATCTAATTCAAGGATAAACCCGTGCTATGTCTGCACACATAGCAGGCCATTTATCTTTGGGCACTTTGTCACCAACGTTTTGTTCCCGTTTCTTTGGCTACATCTCTGCAAAATCCCAAAGATAACACAGTTTGACAGTCATTAATGGACATTTCTTTACCGGGAAGGTGAATTCCAAAGAGCACGAGGGCTGAAAAATGCTGGCAACTCTGGGCATGGTGTGTAAGGTCAGCTAATGGACCGCAGTCTGAATCCAAAAATAGAAGTGGTCAGATCAAATGTGAACTTTTGAGCCCTAATTACTTCTTGCATTTAGGTTCAAGCGTATTTGAAATTTTATATTCTATTTTATTTTTTATTTTACCCAAAGAACTGAAAGTCGACAACATTTTTACAGAGGTGTTAAAGATCTATACCACATCACATAGAATTGAAAATTAGAATGCAAGCATAAGATCCAGGGTTCAAAACTGGTCTAACTGGGATTCCTTTGTTTCTTTGTAAATAAATGGAATACTTACAAGTGTGTAGTAAAACATATATTGTTGTGTAGAGTATTTTGTGAAATCTTATTAATTGGCACTTTCAACTTTCCAACGTTGGTTGCGTTCTGTTTAAAGGTGTTGGGATACCAAACATGTTTTCTGTTATTTTCTTAGCCTGTGTGTCAAACATCTTTTATACAGTTTACCCTCTGTACTGTTAAGAAGAGGATAAAAAAAAACATCAGGCCTAACGTAAACACGCCACGATCAGATTTGGCCCGGTTTGGGATTCTGCGTGGATTTGTTGCGTAATCCGTGTTTGGACGCGCGCTCCCGGATGGGCCGAGCAGCCTCCCAAACAAACGCAGCCACACAGGAGAACACACGAAAACAGCACTAATAGGAAAAAGATGAGGAGGAGGAGGAGGAGGAGGAAGGAGGAGGAAGGACCCCGCTGGCACACGCAAACAGCTCTGGGATCGGTTAGAAAGATTGTTTCCTGAGGAATGCGCTCTGGTATCGATAGGCTGATCCGTGTACTTTGTATTTACACCAATATGGTCTTTCGCTGAATGATTACACCCCCATTAAAGCCTGCCCCGTTTCCAGTGATGCATTCCTAACCCATGCCTCTTCTTTTTTTTCTCTGGTTTTACCCATTTCAGTCAAATATTTGACAAGAGCTCCTTTAAAAAAACTCTAAGGTCAATCTTAGACGTAACAATTCCCACTTTAAAAACATTTCCTTTACTTAAAGACAGGAGGTCATGTCGGAGGGTGGAGGAAAAGGTAGAACTGTCATCTTTGCGGCTCATCTCTGTGAATGATAATGTGATGTTGCCATGGAAACCGGCGGAGAGGTACCGCCTTTTAGCTGCTCAGGAAAGAGTGTGTCATCCTGTTTGTTTTTCCTCTGGTTGGCCTGTCTTTTTCCAGCCCATAGGGCGCGATAATAACAAAAAAATATTGCGGCGGCCTGTGTGTGTGTGTATGTGTGTGTGTGTCCCACCCCCCCCACCACCACCAAATCCAACTAGGGACCACAAGGCCCTTACAACAACATTTTTTTGCTCTGAGGGAGAGGAGCAGAAGTTTCAACATGTGGATGTCTCGCTGCTGAATCCCATGGACGGTTTTATTTCATTCATTTTATTTTTACGCACGTTTACGGTTCGGATCTGCCTCCTTCTGTCCCAGTGACTCCTCCACCTGGGCCCCGGTTTGTGCTTTCCTTTTGCTTTTCGAGGCCCACATCATCCACGAGAGAAAAAAAAACAAATTCCGCTCTAAAACCTTTTTTTGATTTTTTTTTTTTACATCATTTATTTTTCAGACTCCGTTTCTAAGCCGGCCGTCTACGGCACGACGTGGATCTACAGAGACTGGATAATATTTGGACAGGTGTTCTTTCGTATACATTCGCTTCGGAGGGGTCTGGTGTGCCTTTTCACTGCAGATTCTTTAAAAGACCCAGAGAGAGAGAGAGAGAAAGAGAGAGAGAGAGATCCTGTACTTTTTGGATGGAGCTCTGTTGTCCATACTGGATGCGTAATCCCCAACAATAAAAAACTGTTTAGCACCAATTTTCCTTTACTTTTAAAAACCCTCTCCCTCTTTGCCCTCACGCCCCCCGTTCAGAAAAAGAGGAGGCCACATCTGGAAGACAGATGTATTCCCAGAGCTTTGGACTCCCCCCCCCCCTCCTCCTCTTCCTCCTCCTCCTCCTCCTCTTTGCTTTCGCTGCTTCTCACTCACTCACTCTCTCTTTCTCGTGTCCCTCCCCTCCCTCCTCTCCTCTTCTCTTTGCTCTTTTTGGGAAACATGAGAGCTGAGCTAATTCTCTCTCTCTATCCCTCCTCCCCCCCCCCTCTCTCCCCCCTCTGTCTCTCGCCCAGGCCGGACCACCCACATTCGGAAACGCCTAGCTGTTCCAGGGGAGAGACGCAGAGCGCACGAAAAAAAAAAAAAGATGTAAGGATTGGCCTGTGTGTGTGTGTGCGTGAGCGCGAGCGTGTTTCTTTTTTCCCCTTAAAGCAGGGTATCAATTACATCAGTGTCAGAGCCCCGGGCTGCCATTGTGAGAGGAGGGGAGAGGCCGGGAGACGCGTCCCCGTCAGCTGGTGGCGCTTTTGTTCCAAAAACCGCAGCTTTCTATATCGAGCAAAAGTTTTTTTTGTGTGTGTGTTTATTTGTTTTTGTTGACAAAAATACACTTCAGGCAAAAAAAAACACACACACTGCGATTGCGCCATGGGGTTCTCGAGACCGGGCCACTTCTCACCCAAGAAACCCTAGAAAATCATAATATCATAAATAAATGACTGACAACGAAATGTGCTTAAATCAGCAGCTTTTATTCGTTTTGTAAGCAGCGGTTTGTTACACGCTGCCCCCCCAAACACACACACACACACACTCCCCCAGCTCTTCGTACAGAGGTCGGTGTCTCCCCCTTGTGGACAATCCTAGGTGTTGCATCTTGAGAAACTGGAAAGGAGACCCTGGTGCGGTTCGCCCTGATTATTTCATTATTTCTTCTCACTTTACTGTAAAGTAGCAGCTGAAATCCGCAGGGCGGGTTTGAGTGCTTGTCTGGTATTCTTCAGCAGGTTTAGCTCTGGGAGAGCACATGGAGTCATTTCAGTAGTTTACACAGAGGGGGAGGAAGCATTTGTTGACTTAAAATGGTGAAGGTACCCACACACACAGGCTGGGTTAATCTGTTTTGTGTCTATTTGGTGTGCATTTTAAGGGGTAATTGTGTGAGCTATAAGATTTACCCCACAAAAATAAATTGGATTCATCCATCTTTGGCTCACTGTCGCTAGAGTTGGGGTTATTTTCCTATATTTCACATATGTTTACTCAAAAACTGGAATCTTGGGTTGTGATGAATCATTCTCATTCTATTTCCCCCCTTAGATTTTCTTTCCCATCTTTGTATTTGCTTTAATATTCCTTTGGTTTTATTCCGTAGAAATTCTCATTTGAAAAATGCTCTCTCCTACCTACTATACAAAAGCTTGGATATAAATCAGCATGCATGAAATTAAGGGTGATGCGTAATTGGGTTGTTATGTTCTGGATTTGGACTGGAGCAGCGTTTGGGTGATGGCTAAATGACTCAAAAGGAAACCGCTTTGCCGAGCTCGGCACAAAGTTTAGTCTGAGCGGGCTCTCTGTCTCACTTTGAACAAACAGTAAAGAAAAAGAAAAAGAGAAAAAAATTGCTGCTTATATGGACAATAAATTACCTAAGAGTTCCATGTTAAATTATGCAAATGAGACTATGCAAACTGGGGGTTACCGACGGCAACGGGTGTTTCAGCGGTGCTCAGTAAGGCAGAGATAAAGGGCGTAAAGGTGCGACTTCTCATGTATTTTTCATTTCTCATTTGTTCTTCTCGGTTTTCCTCCTGCGTACTTCGGTGGCGACGGAGCCCACGGTGGCCCCCAGCATGCCCCCGTACGGCCCCCCCACGAACAGCCCCACCAGGGCCCCCAGCAGGGCCTCCCTCCTCACCATGGAGGACAGCCACTCGACCCAGGCCCTCAGCGTCTCCCACAGCCCCGGGGGGGAAGGCTCGGTAACGGCGGGGGGGAAAATGCTTTCCACGTCCACGTGGAAATCCCACAGGCCCCTCTCTGCCTCCCCCCGGGCGGCCTCCACCTCCTCCTCCGTCAGCTCGCCGTCGCCCGGGTCCTCGCCCCTCCGCTCCATCGCGATCTCCCGCTGCCTGTTCCCCAGCCTCTCCTCGGCCTCCCGGTACAGGGGGCAGCTGATGTGGTGACCGCCACTCTCAACCAGCGCCCGCTCCACCTTCTCCATCAGCTCCTCCGGCCCCCCGGCTCCGCCCTGGGCGTGGTAGCGCTGACCGCACCTCCCCACCAGCTCCAGGAGGTCCTTGCGCCAGGTGGCCAGGTACTCGTCCAGGGGCTCGTCCTCCTCCAGCTCCTCGGTGCCGGTGAAGAGCACCGCGGCGTTCTGGCGGACGGCCGCGGCGCCCAGGAGCTGCTCCAGGGCGTCCAGAGCCCTGGCCTCGCCGTCGGCCGGCCGGTTCACGGGGACGCAGAGCAGGATGGCGTGCGGCCCCGGGCTGGACAAGGCGATGAGGGAGGATAGGTGCTTCTTCCTCTCCTCTGAGCTGCAGGTAGAGCTGAACCAGGCCGGGCTCCAGACCACCACCACCTACAAGGAACCATCATCAGAGGAAAGAGTTTCCACCCCCGGTCCCCTTGGGATTTTTGTATTCCTCTCTGTTTGAATCCCAAACAGGACTTGCCTTAATTAGAACATGAGCAGCTATTGCATGCAGCTATTCTTGTCTTTCAGGTCCTACTGAAAAAGCACCTACATGGGATTTAAGACACGATTCTACGAATTTCTGAGTCACCCGTCATTGATCTACATCTGCCTCCCAAAGACTTATATAGGCTATTAGCTCTGGATGCATTCCTATAGTGCTGTAAGGTGTTTTTCTTTGGATAGTTCTGGTCGCTTTTTAAAAAAACAAACAGATAATTTAACAAAGAACACATATTTAAAGCTACTTTTAAGGTATTTGTCTTTGTTAGTCTTCTAAGACATACAGTGAATTCCCATTTCTTTGGCTATATGTCTGAGACATATCCCTAAATATCAATATTTATTATATATTTTCTGAACCAATAAAGAGCTGAAAACTTGGCACATGTCAGCGTCTTCCTGTCAAGAAGCCCTTCTTGGACGAACATGTATCAAATGACACAGGAAGTAAGCAGCATCCAAAAGGACTGTCTGGAACATCCTTCAGGGGGTTTGGAGAACTATCCCCTTAAGAACACTCAAAAGAAAGTTTGTCTAAGAGAGTTAGGGCTCATACCAAATAGTAACCCTCAGCTTTGTCAGAAATGTTCCAAACTGTACATTAAATATGATTAAATTGTATCTGTGGTGGCAGACAGACACTTCATGACTTTTGTATTGCATCTGTCAAACGTAAAACAAAATAAGGAACTTCTTTTAAGTATCTAAGGTGGATTAGAGCCCTTCTGTAAGGAGAAATGAGGTTTCCTACCGGCCTGCCAGCAGCCTCCCCTGTGTGTTTACTGCACTCCGTGGGTTCATCTTCGCCCTGAGCCTTGACTTGCAGGCCCAGGATGGAGCACGCTGCCTCTGGGCCTTCTGCCCCGGCCGGGCCCAGCACCACCAGCCTCAACTCTGCACAAAGCACAGGCGAAAAGAGACACATTCTTAACTGATCAGAACCCGCAGCTCATCCTTTTGCAGTTTCGCCACTTGCGCCGTCCTGTGTGTCAACGCCTCGTTTCCACCTCCGAGTTTCCGAGAAGCCCTGCGCAGCTGCCGTTTCTTTTCAGTGCAAACCGCAGAAAAGGAGCGGAGAGCCGCGCCCACTGGCTGTTATTGTGCCCCGTAGTCCCAGCTCTTTTAGAAAAAGGCTCATATAGGTGGAGCGGAGGGGAAATGCGCAGAAAACCAAAACAAAACGACGCTGCTTACCGGATCGCGAGGCAGATGTTGACATTTCGGCTCCTGCTCGCGTCCGTATTGAGGGGATGAGGACACTTCCTCATTCCTGTGGGCTGACTCACAGCTGTCTCTGACTCCAACCAGAGGGGAACACAGCTCCATCTGTTGTGTGGACGCGCAGGGCAACCCTTTTTTGTCGTCTTAAAGTAAGAGTTCTACCTAAAGATTCAACATCTGGACACGGGGCAGCTCTCCAAACAGATATTTTAATGTTTCCATCTTCTCACAGTGCATTATTGGAATCGTTCCCGCCCGTCTCCTCCCGGGAAATGAAACAAAAATCCACTAAAAACTTTTAAGTCTACAAACAAATTCTTTAAGCACGGTGAAAGAATAACCGGGCGGGTGTGAGAGATGTTCTCTTCCACCGGCCGGGAGCGAGTGACAACAGCTAAAACGTGTCTATGTTACATTTTGGAATAAAAAAATAAACCCGGACAGACGTAAAAACGGCAGTCCCCGTCGGAGGCTGACACAAACACGCAGGCTCCTTCAGGAAGGTCCGTACGGAACCCGCGTGTTGTCTTCAGAGAGTAACAGTAAAAACCCGGCATCAACCTGTCTATTAAAACCATCCACTTCAAAGTACAGCCGGTAGAAAAAATCGCCCCAGCCGTTTCCTTTTTAAAAAAATACACATTTAAAAACACAATCGATACAAGAAATGTGGAGAGTTTTGTAACGCCGGGGCAGCGGCTTAAGTTAAAGTCCGAGCATTGTTCCCATAGCTTGTTATTCCTCCGTATCCTTCTCAGAGCCCGGGCATGATGTAGGCGATGTTGTCCAGGGTGTTTGACTGGAAAGGAGAAAAAAAAAAGAAAAGAGGAAGGGTTTAATAAGATAGCAGCAGCTAAAATGGATCTGAGTGACTGTGGCGGGTTGTTTCTGTACCAGGACGTTTCGGGGACATCCGTTTAGCTGCGGGATCTGTGCTGTGAGGCAGGTCAGAGGGCCCAGCGCGCACAAGATGGAGTCCAGGAGAACAGACAAGCTCCCCGACACGGCCACCATGCCCTGACAAAGGGAGGCACGTTTACATATGAACACATGTTAAAACGGCGCGCAGAGGTTAAAAAAAACAACAACAACTCACCTCCGTCTCCTGCAGCCGGTGGCCGATCAGGGACAGGGACTCTCCCAGCAGCTGGAGGTGGGCGGCGGCGTCGATGGGGTCCACGTCCGGCACCCTGGCGGGGGACAGGGACACGGCGCTGGGGGCTCTGCTGGGCGACACCATCCCGCTCCCGGCGCCGACCACTAAAGAGGCCAGGGACGGAGAGAAGCGGTCAGAACCCCGCGGATTACCATCGGCCCGAGGGCCCCGGTTGGACTTGCCTTTGCTCTTGCTCTCGACGGGGGGCTTGTGTTTGACCGTGGTGGCCTCGGCCTTGTTCTGCTTGTGCTGCAGATACTGGGCTTTCTGCCTCCAGACCTGCAGAAGGGGGGACAAGCCGAAACTCAGCACCAAACAGCCGGTTACATCCCACTAAAAACCCAGAGGAACAAAGACGTACCAGCTTGTCCTTCTCAGGCATGGACTTCCACACCTCTGCTAACTTCTTGCTTAGCTCACCAAAATCTGAAAGCCAGACACAAGCACAGATTCATAAGGTCAATTTTGGTTATTTCAAACCGTGGCCGTGTTACGTTGTGCAGAAAAATGTGGCTCACCGAGTCCCGGCTGCTCCGCGTTGATGTTGACCCGGTACTCTTTACAAAACACCTGATACGCTGTTGTGTTCTTCTTCTTGGGCTGGAAACGGACAAAACGAAACAGTGAATATCACAACAGTGGCGCACGGTTCCCAGAGGGGGGGGAGAAAGGGAGGCCTACTTTTTCTTTCTCCTTCTCGTGCTTCTCCTTCTCCTTGTCCTCCTTCTTCTTCTTCTTCTCGGCCGTGCCGTCGCTGGCCTGGTGGTGTGGAGTGATGGGTTTGCTCATGGCGTACATGGGGCCCACGGCGCTGTGGGTGACCGTCGGGTGGGAGTGGCCGTGGCCTCTTGACGAGTCTGGCAAAGAGAGAGAGGTCAGAGAGATGGACGCAATGTTTTTTGGGGTTTTACAGGTTCCACAGGGCTGCAAAACTACTAAATAGTAGCATTGCAGCAATTGCAATGAACCAAGATCCAGCCCTGAGAGTCAGATCCTAGTGCCCTCTTCGTTTCTTTCTGTGTTGTTCTTTGTGCAATCTATTCATTTTATAAAGCCTAAAAAAATTAACTACGCCCATTAATATATTGCTATTTTCTAATCATATGTCCTATTGTAACATTCAGAGTGGTACTAAAAAACACAAAGTATTAAAAATCTACCAACAAGCATAAGCAGCTAACGCCTCATTCTCCCCCCATGTTCAAATTGACTTATGTCAGTTGTATTACAGAAAAGTGTGGAATCTCCCATTCAACGCATTTTCAAAATAACCATAATGTCAGCAACATTGTGATACTGTACTTCTGTATAGATTGATCAAACACTGATATGTACATGTGTAAATCTGCACATCCCTACAATTTTAATGATTCAATCCAAAACACGTGAATTCGGGCCGTTCTCCTCCTTAGAACTTTACATATATATGTAAATTCAGTTGAATTTTTCTAGGCGTAAGCTCACCTCCTAAGCCTTTGCTGTGCTTCTTATCTTTCCCACTTTTTTCCTTGTCTCTGTCTTTCTCTTTGTCCTTTTTCTTCTTGCTTTTCTTGCTCTTCTTCTTCTTTTTCGACAAGTGCGTGTAAGTGTCGTCTATGACCAGCTCCCCAGCCTCCAGTTCTCCGCCTGAAGAGGAGCTGTCGTCCCCCATGCCTCCGCCGTAATGACCTACAGAACACGAAGCCCGGTGTGAACAAAAGGAGGTCTAAACAGGCCTTCGGCAAACTTCATGTAGGATTACCTTACCTTCTACCTCCACCTCCTTCCCCACTACGGGCAACGGCTCTCTGCTCTGCTGCAGCTTCTTCTTGGGCGACTTCGACGGCTGCATCCTCTCCCTGTCCTTCTCTTTCTTCGTCCCGCCTTTGGAAGAGTAGGGCGCGAACGAGAAACTCTCCGGCTCCTCCTTCTCCGGCGACATGATGAGCTTCATTTTCAGTCCGTCCGCCTCCCGTAACGTCAGGGGCTCCTCTTTGGGGGCGCCGCCGTGAAACAGCGAGGACTTTGAGGAGGACGACAAGTGCTTCTTGGAGGAAGACGACGAGGAAGTCAATGAGCGGGAGTGCGAGAAGGAGTGGCCGGATTTGCTCCCCCCTCCGCTGCCGCCACTCTCGCGTTTGCGTTCCTTGGAAGAGTGCGACGAGAAGGAGGGGTAAGAGGGTTTCTTGTGCAAGTGGGGACTGGGGTCGGAACCCGTGGCCAGGGGAGAGGTGATGGCTTGCAGAAGGCCCATTGCCGTATCAGTCGAGTGTGATGACGAGGGGGAAGTAAGAGGCGGCGAGCGGTCGGCGGATTTATGCTTTTTCTTGTGGGGAGGAGGACCTGAACTGTCGTGATCTGATTGCAAGGGAGAAACAAAAGACAGCCATGAGAAACCTTCCACTTGTCGCATCTTTAAAGTCGTACAATCTCCTCACCCCTGTAGTAGTAGTCATCGCTATGCTTCTTCTTCTTTTTGTGCGAGTCCCCACCCAGCAGGAAAAGTTCTGAATCCTGATTTGGATGGAGAGAATTTTTCTTTACAAGACGTAGAGAGCATTACCAGCATATCTCAAGCCACAAAAGAAAGATAACTTACCTTTGGTCGTTTCTTGGAGGTCTTTCGTACCTCCGCAGCAATTTCCTCCTCCTCTCGTAGCAAATCCTTATATGACCTCCTCTTCTCTCTCTGGCTACGACCAGCCACAAGTCCTCTGTCTCCCTCCATTCCCATATCTACAACACAAGAAAACTAAAGTTAGTACTGTTATAAGTTAGTACTACCATTAGTTTATAATACTGGTGTTGTTACACATGCATCTGTCGCAGTTTTACTTCTATTAACTAAACAATCACTTTCTTAATCACTGCATTTAAGAGAGTTTCAAAAATGTAAATGTTAAGTAAGTTAATAAAAAATATACATGAGAGAATGACTTAAACACTTCCTTTTTTTACCCTTTATTTCTTCATACGCCATGGTCTATTCTTCCTCAGCACGTGCACTCGCTATGGGATGTCCTGGACAACATTAAAAGCAGGATACTGACCTGTCAAACAAACACCAACAGATGGGAATTAAAAGCAACGTAATGAAAAAAGTAAAGTATTCAGTAAAAACAAAAAAATGAAAAGAAAGAAAAACAAGGACGACAGATCTTAAACTTTGAAGTACATGGTAGAATTTGGAAAACCTAAGACATTTATGTGCTATCTTTGTCTAAACAGGTGATGGGGTGGCTTAGTTGTGTTTGGCTCGTTGAAAACCCTGAATCAGGCACCGCACACAAACACTCCAAATAACCTGGGAGCATTCAAGAGTTCCAGGGCGCCGCCACATCAGGAAAAACACTATTAGCCGTATAATTATGTTACTAAAGGTTTATTGTGCCACACATAAACCAGCATTACAATTACGGCAAAACACATTCCCGCCTACTTTCGTAAAGATGCTCAAACACACCCCCTTTCTTTATACTTTGGCTCTCGGACCCTTCCTGCAGTTCCATGACTTGAGCACGGCACGCCGGGATTGAGCCCGGCTGACCGCTGAAGCCGGCAAAGGAAAGGCGGAGGCTTTCCTGAACAGCTAGGCCGAAGCCGCCTCCTATAGACAAAGCGCTGTTGTCGACATGCATTCTACGATGTACATATCTTAATATTTACTGGAATTATAGAATATGCAGTTTCTGCATGTCCAAAGGAATGAAAAATAATGCGTTTATTGAATTTTACTACCTCAATGGGGTCTCTCAATTTACGCGGGTCCGGCAGCCATCTTTGTTATCGGCAGACAATTCATTTCAGGGCAGGGGCGGGGCTATGAGGAACAAGCCAATCGGTGTGGAGAAAGGCTGTCCTTATATCAATGTTTTACAGTCACTAATTATTCAGGTAATCCCTCTCCGCAATGACTGCTACAGACAGATACGCTACAGATTAATACATACATATTGCCAAAGATACTGATTTATTGACTCATACCAACCACAGCATTTTTAAAATACAGATCACGTAGAAACATAACATGCAATAAAAAAATAAGGCAAGAATAAAAGTATCTGGTCGATTAAGTAACAAAAACAAAAAGGTAGAATTATTAAATAATTTTTCCCTCATATTACAGAACTTTTTTTTTTTTTTTAAATCAATGGCATGGAAATAAAAGAACATGTTCACACAACAACAGGCACACTTAGACTCAAAGGCTGCACACAAAAAAATACCATAGTGCTGCTCCACTTCTGGGTTAATGTTTTCACTGCTAGCTCACCATTGTCAATGCATTTTGCCCTACCGATACAATATCTATCAACACCATTTTGCTTGGATATTTGAGGTCTGTTCATCTGAACCAAAATAAAAACAACTTTGTCACCAAATAACAAGGTGTGCAACTGTCCAATATAGCAATACTTGAGCTGAAACCGTAAGTGTGGGCGAGGCAGTCTCAGTTTAAGGGCTCGGCTTTTGCTCATATGGCCCAGGACGCAGAAGCAAAGACCTGGCCACCCTGATGAGCAGCGCCGCTTCATCTCTTATATACATTTAATTCTCTACCTATCACCCAAATTCTGCTTCTGTAGACTGAGTGATGTGAAACTGGCCAGCAAGTCTGTCACTTCATCCACCTAAAAGAAATTCAAAAGACAGTTATGTAAAACTAAAGGCAACAACTTCATCGTAAATCATCAGAACATGCAAATACAAAAGTAAGTCCCGCAAGAAGATTTCAGGGCCGCTCTGTGAACGCATGCGGTGTTCACCTGCTCTCTGGTGCGCGTGTGCTGCAGCTGCGTGGAAATGTGCTCCAGCCTCTCTTTAGCTTCACTCTGACCCATCAAGTTCAAGTATTCTCTGAGCATCTGAATGATCTGCAGGCAATACAGAATAATCAGACGGCTGTCCACTTGAGAAAATGACAGGAAAACAATTTAGGTATGAGCAGTCATTATCCTGTGCACCTGTGTGACTTCCCCTCTCAGGGTCTCTAAGCTTCGTGAGTCTCCCTCCTGCAAAATGTTGAGCTTGGAGCGCGCTAGATGGAGAGGTGTCCTGCCCGCTCGGTCCAGGGCATCCACGCGGGCCCCTGGAGAGAAACAGATAGAAATCTCTCATTTTCCTATAGTTTAGATAGCTTATGTTATTCATTCAGCTCTCAGCATTTTTTCTAACAGATATAAGCAACATTGGGTTTTTATGACTAAGTACTTATTCATATGTTTATTAAGGTGTTTCCAACACAGGACAGTTTGACAACTGTCTTAAATGTATTCCACTTGTGAATAATCGTCAAATCTGTGGACCGATGGACTCTAATAATTTCAAGATTGACAAGTGGCTACATATGCTTCCGTTAAATCACTGCTGATCGTTTTCCTCCTTGGTTTTGTGGTAACACACACACCTAAATACTGCCAAGAAGCAAACTGTCTAAACTTCTGAATATACAGAGAAGCGGAAACTAATGAAAAATAAATAATGTTTGATATTTACCAAACCTTCTGCCTTGTAATATGTCATTAATTCAATATCCCCATACATAAAACCTGAGATTCTAAAATGTGTACTTTTATTAATCACATGACTTTAAATGCCTCTTTTGAGGCACAGATGGCTAATTTGAATTGTCCCTTAAGGGGAGAGTTCACAGGTATCATGTGAGATCTAGAAATTCTTCAAGGGGTTTTAGTAGAGGTCTCTTTACTATTTCCGCTGACTTAAGACACAAAAGCCATGAACCTATTCCACAATTAACTCACCTCCTCTCAGCAACGTTGTGATTACAGGCACATGGTTGGTACAGGCCGCTGCAGGACATGGGCAAAAAAAAAAAAAAAAAAATTAAATAAAAACTTAAAAACAGCAGACAATTTATGCCTTTTTGTGTCTTTTTATCTTTACAAATGTGCGTCTTGAGAAGTTCCGTAAAAGCAACAGTTCTGTGCGCTGCCCACAAGTGTTTTACAGCTCATCCACAGTGCTCCCTTACCCAAATGGAGAGGCGTGTTGCCCAGGCTGTCTCTCTGGTTGGGATCGGCACCGTAGCTCAGCAGCAACTGCACTACAAGTTAGAAGAACATGTTGGAAAATGTTTACTAAATATCCTACGTTTGTCAGGCTTCTAAAAACCCAGGTGGAGATAACCGAAAATGCAGATCAAGGTAAATCCGAGGGTCCCCAAACTCAACTTTTTAATGTACCAAGACACTTCCTGCAACTCTGCTTTGTCGCACAGTTAATCTGACTAAAACAGCCATGATGTCAGACATCTTCATACATGCGTTACATACACAACAGAGATTCCTTCTTCTGCTTTCATCCGCCACCTCAGTGTTTTGCCCCAGAAAGACTAACGAAGCCCCTCTGTCTGTAACGGCCTACCGATGCTATCGTTGCCGTTGCAAGAGGAGAAATGAAGAGCCGTCCTTCCCTTGTCATCTGCCGCACAGGGGTCAATGTCATCTTGCAGGATCTTTCTCACTGCATCAGAAATGAAAAAATACATAGATCAGCCGCTTCGCTTGCTGGGCATTTTACTGAATCAACACAACGCTTGTACCTGTGTCGATATCGTTGCTGTTGGCCGCTTCCCTCAGTCTTTTCGCAGCTGTGGAGATAAGATATTCAAAATGACAGACATGTAAATATCTCTTTATGGTTTAATGGGCAGGACAGAAAAAAAGAAGAGGGGCAGGTTTATCGGAACACTTTCAAGTCACGGTGAATTGCTTTGAAGAACTATTCTTGATATTAACCTGGGGATATATGTTGAATTACATAGAAACAAACTGGCCAGCGTGCCTCATCTTTATCCAGATCACTGTGTATTGGGGATATTCATGTAATTTTTCTACTTTAGAGGGACTTTGTTGTGCTCCAGATGACACCATCCTTACCATAAATGTCTTTCCCCATAGGACCGAGGCTCTGCACGGCTCGGTGGTGTCGCCTGGCCCTGGTCCCGCTCATCTTCCCCAGCTTGTTGGCCACGCCGCCCGGGCCCAGCTCCCCGCGTCCCGGCTCCCACAGCAGGTGCAGGTACCTGAGTTCCTTCTCGTCCCTCTGCCCGACTCGACCCAGCACCACTTTGCCCTCCCCTATCCCGCTCATACCGAAACCCACGGCGGCGCCCACGTCCTCCATCCTCTCCCCCGGACAGCCCTGCTCTCCGGCCGCGGCTTCGCGGCTCTCGCCCTCGGGTCCGCGCTCCAGCATGTACTCCCCCTCGGAACTGGGTCGGTCATTGCATTCCAAGGCGACAACGGAGCTCCACCCCTCCATATTGTTTTAATCGTTTTATGGGACAGCTGTTTTACATAACACTAATAATCACAACTCATGCCAAAGCTAAAAGGCAAACACAGCCCCGGGCCGAGTACGGAGCCAAATTTGAAAATGATTCGTCGTCAGCGACGGCCGCGGCCACTGCACGGAGCGTCGACGAAGAAAGCCTCCCACCAAAGGTTTCCCATTATTATCATTTTGAAGTATTGAAAAAGTAGATACCTTCGCCTTCCATCACCAAAATGTCCCCTGCTTTACATGTTCCATATCACCCGTGTGAAAGTAGTAAGGGGCACGACCATTGCACGGCCAGCGGCTGGGAGTGACGCACACCTATCACATTTCATGTTGTTCATTTGCTGCAGACCAATAGAGTCCGTGCTTCAAGGCAGCCAATCGGGAGCTCTCTGCGGTGGACCAATCAGAGATTTAGGATTGCCCTGGGCACGCTTTCCGTAAAAGATAACAACAACGAATAACATGCTTTAGAATGTAAAAAAAAAAGAGCCTCGCATTATGTCTTTTTCGAATGTTTAATTTCTTACATCTTTTAGAAATGAATAATGCACGAAACCCTTGGCACCCAACACAACCCATGTAACATTTTATATGAAAATGTAGTGATGTAAATAATATAAATACTGTATTTGCAAGAGAAAAACAGGGGGACTCTCAATGGTCACAGTGCCTTTCCAGTGATAGGCAATGGTTCCCAACCGGCAGGCTTTAACCACTCCAAGTCCCATAATATATCTAAAGAGCTACAGAGTGATAAACAGAAGAAGAAGTGCATAAAATTAGGATTGTCATCCCAAGAAAAACATTTTTATGATCACTAAACCAAAGTAAACCAAACTTAAGTTTAGCAAAGAACTCTTTGGTTGAATCAATCATGTAGTAGATTTATGAAGTAATGATTACCCTTTTTCTAAAAAAAAAAAAAGATACCATGCCAACATAAATGCTAACCACAGATTCATAGAATATTCTTTCCTAAAATTTAGAGGAGAATTGGAAATGGCAGAGGAGATGATTTGGGGTAATGGAGGTAGCTATTTTAAGAGACATAAACAGCATCGTACAGCTCAGACAGGAAAAACAATCATAGGTCAAGTTTCAGTCCTGAAGACATGGATGCTCCAGCTGGTCCCAGGTATTTGGGGAATTCCGGGTTGGCTTCTGATGTGCCGGCATCATCATGCTCAGCTGTGTGCGGTCCAGCTGCGTGAATCTGCTGCTGGAGCCAACTGTCGCGCACGACTCCCTGCTGGTTCAAGTATCCCTGCTGGCAAAACAGCGGCGGCTTACGATGGGTGAGGGCCGAGCGGAAACACGACTCTAGGAGATGGGATGAAACACAGACGTGAGGCAAACCAGCATCAGCAATGTGTTCTGAGGCCAGGCTGGAATTAAATTTGATGTCCTACATAAAATCTAACAAAAACTCTGTAAAGATGCACAATTCTGTAACTTTGATTCAGTTTGTAAAATATGTTTGTGAATGTCTCTTTTGGTCAGTGGTTCACTTTTTCCACAGCAAAAACATTCTCTTCATCTTTAGTTCCCCCCGACATCAACATTAAATCAGGCCTCATTTACCGCAATTCAGTATGAAGTTAAAACTCTTCCTTTCCCTTGATGTTTACTTTGTCTAACAGCAAATAATAAGTGATCATAAGAACTTTCATGGGGACCTCTGGAGATTGAATTAACTTTTTTTGGGGAAAAAAGACCAGAATATGTTTACTTTGAAAGTGAGGGAAACTGATTCGGAAAACAAAAAAACACTTAACTGGCCACATAATTCTCTAAATAGATAGAATACAATTGTCTAAATTGTTAAAACTCTGTTTCAGGAACACTTTAGTCGACACGATGCCTCACCTGCATAGAAGGCTCTGAGGTCAGTCTGGACACAATGCTCCAGGAAGCGGCGCAGGGGCTGGATGTGGGACAGAGGACCGTCCCACTCTGTGAGGAAGTCCTCCACCATGTGATGGATCGCTTTGGGCCTCGGTAAAGGCCAGCCCTCAGGGCGTGTCTTCATCTCATACTCTGAGGACATCAAATAAGTGAATAAATCAACGAGCCTGAGTTTTTTCTGGCGCCTCAAAAACACCACTTTCACCCACCAGTAGGGAGTCGGTCATAGTAGTAGAGAACAGGGTGCAGAAAGTTGGACTGCCATGCTTTGGTCCAGTCCGTTTCCGCCCTGCCCCGCCCCAGGTAGTCGATCTTCTTTTTGCCGTACTGCATGACTAACACTATCAGCCCATGTTTGGAGACTTTGTGGCCAGAGAGGGAGGAGAAGTCAGGCAGGGCTTGGAGTAGGAACTCTTCAACATACTGGCAATGAGAGCTGAGAATCGAGAGGAGAGAGCAGAAAAAAAACGAGATTTTATCGCTGTTTTTTCAAAAGCATATCTATAAGCTCCATAAGAGAAAAATACACTTCTATAAATAAACATAGAGCAACACGCGCTTACCCATGAAGAAGTATAACATCCCCGAGCACCTCGAACATTTGGTATGGCCCCGACGCCTCACCGACCCGCTTCAGAATCCAGGCCTGCAGCTGAGTCGTCAACAGTTTGGTTGACGGCCAGAGGTTGCCATGGTTACGGTGTTCAAGAACTCGATGTACGGCGCGGACTGAGGCAGAAAATGCATACGATGACTCATTTTAAAAAGGTGTAGAGCTATTTGTTCTGCTGGTAAGATCTTTAAAAAAGACATTTCCAATCTTCAATCAGAATTTTTTGCACTGGAATTGTCTTGTTTTCAGGACTAAGTGGTTCAAGATGAGGATGTCCGGATTGAGTATTAAAAAGGATGAAAAGATTAAGAAAGGGGATATCTCCAAGGATGGAAACCACTGAGTGTTTTCTATTAGCCCACATGATGACAAAGAGCAAAGAACTGCTTATTCAGTCTATGCCGAGCTAGTCATATCATGTTTTGTAAGTCAGCGTTTGTCTTCTTGTAGCACTTTTCCAAAAATTAGGCTTGGAAGACAAACAAACAAAAAAGCAGCTGCTGGACTCTCACCTGTGTAGCGGAATCCATGGACGAAGCCGCCTGCAGATGCACGGTAGTCCCTGGAGTGCGAGGCAGTTCCAAGGACAAACAAGTTGGGGGTGTTGTTCCCTTCATACCAGGCCGTTACCCCTGGCAACCTCCCTTTTGCATTTTCACTGTTTGGTGGGCAGGCAGAGCTGAAGAGACATTTTGTTTCATTAACCATAATGTTTGTATTCTCATAACCTGTTTGTCATACTGTTTTATGTCATATGTATTCTCATAACCTGTTTGTCATACATCAAACAGGATGGGACAGTATGTGCCATCAGTGCATTTTGCAACAAGCCAGAGACGTTTTCTTGACTTGTACCTTTCAAATATGCTGAAGTTGAATCGGAATCCGAGGCACCGGATCACCCGGTCGTAGGGTTTTCGCGTGGGGAAGTTGTCAATGTGGTACCCCGGAAGTTCCTCTCGTGTTAGATCCGAGCTGTTCTGCGTGTTTACGTACTTCTTTAAAGTTAGGTACAACTGTTTCCTCCTCTCTTTCTTCCTTCCACCGGACCTCCTCCCACCCTGCTCCTTTACCTGAGCGATGACAATTTTCTCTAGCCGTGCCTCCACCAGCCCGTCAAGGGACTTGAGCTGGTACGTGTCTATTAAGTCATTGTTAACAGCTCTGGAAAAGAAAACAGATTGCAGCTCTGGTTCAAAAGCAGTGGTTTTTATTAATTCTGTTTAGCATGTTTTGATCCACGTAAGGAGAACTAATCTTGTAATCATCTTTGGAGGCGCACTCCCCTTACCGTACCTAAGATCTCCCACATAGTGCGTCTGCCAGGCCAGTCGAACGGGGCTGGAGCTGAGCATGTGCACTCGACTCGCCCTCCCTAAGATGCTCTGCGCCGTTTCAAAAGCAGAGTTTCCCTTCCCCAGTATCAGCACAGCCTGGTCCTTGTAGTCGTCGGGGTTAGTGGAGATGGATTCGTATCCCTCGACCAGATCAGAGCCGACAAACTCCACCTTCTGAGGGACCCACAACCCTGTGGCCACCAGCAGGACGCTTTGGGAAAGAGAGAAAAAAAAAAGGGCATCACAACGCTATCTGGTCTGATCTGGATTTTTAACCTTTTGCTCAGAGTTTCGTAAATGACCTGCATCTGTAGTTGGAGGCGTGTTGGTCGGTGAGGATGTAGCTCCTTCCTGCGGCCGACTGGACCGCCCTGATCCTCCCGACGTCCACCCCGTACTGTACCCTCAGCCCGAGCTCCCTCTCGAACATGGACAGGTAGCGAGGGAAGGCGTCTGCCGGGGGGTAAAAGTCACTGCTCACTCTCTTGAACAGGAGGTCGGGCCTGTCGCTCAGCAGCGAGTTCCAGTCGTGCCGCAGGTTGAATTCTCGGTTCTGCCGTCCCGTGTGGATCTTGTTAATGCTGATGAGCCTCCTGTGCCTGGGGTACCTAAAATACAAAAACAAAAAATTACATTTCTGAGATATCTTACATGATAGGCTTCCACAATGTGGCTCACTTGTTGAAAAAGCTCCCAGGCCCCGAGTTCCTCTCCAGGATGATGTAGTCCCTGCTGGCCTTGGAGAGGAAGTATCCCATCTGTAGTCCCGCGGGGCCAGCTCCCAGCACACAGTAGTCGTAGCGGCGGGTGCCATTGCGGTGGGGGTCATCGGAGGAGGCTACGACGAGGCCGGTCAGGGTGACGAGGATGAAATGGGGAAGCCTCGACTCCATGACCTACTGGACACAAAGCGAGGTGGGGAGGAGGAGGATGAGTACATATAGTGTAGGAGTTAGTATGATACATAAGTACAAAAACCATGCAAAAGAACACCAATACAATAATACACACTCACACAGATCTAGAATGGTGTGAAATGTGTCAAACTGGCCTTCTTTTCCTTTTCCCACAATCTTTAGCATGTCAAAGTTACAATCTCCCCCCCATCCAAAGCCTGTGACAACATGCAGGCCATCGGAACATCCGGGTAACACGCAGCCCAATTAAGCCCCAAACTTGGATAGAAAAAGAAAAAGACCACAAAAAAACACGACTTTCGGGGACCAAAAGGCACAGATAAGAGTGGAACCGCGGTGCCCAGCCGACAGGAGGCGGAGGACCGCCGGTCGCCGCCTGCCGGCTCTCCGTCAACTCCCCGGCCGACGTTATGAAACCCCTCTGGGGATGCGGCGGCCGCCAGATGTGCGGCGGGCGGGCTGTCTGGCTAGCATGGCGCCCAACGGAAACACGGAGGCCGGGACGTTTACCTTCTTATATCAGCCGCCGGTTCGAAAGTGTCCGCGCCGCTACATGTTTGCTGTCCGGCATTTGGAAACCCTGCGGAGTGGGGAAGCGGAGTCCTCCCGAGAAGCTGCACTAGCTCAGCCCACTCAGCCCCCCCGAGTGATAAAAAAGAATAATGGAGGGCTGCTTGCGTAAGGGCACGTGAAAGCACCACGGAACAGAAGAGAAGAAAATAGTAAAAAATAAATATAAAAAAATGCTTTTATTTGTGTATTTAGTAGTGTTTATTTGTGGCTTATATTGTTGACTAAATGTGTTTGACATTATTAAAAGAAATATCTGCACTCAGTCGACACAAACAATGACAAAACAGGCTAACTTTTCTTTGTTTATGTAGAAGAGGTGTTAAAGGCCCTGGGAATGACAGAAAAAGTAGTTTCCCCGTGAGGGGAGGTATCCTGAGAGCAAAGGAAAAGTCATGGTCTGACCTACATACATCATAAAGAAATCGGTAAGGAGACACCAGTGTTTTGATTCCTTGTTATTCATACTGCTGATGCAAGTTTCCTTTTTCTTAAAGGCTTGTTCCCTCTTTAGTCAGCTGACACATCACTGACATCAGCAAACATTTCATTTCAGCCCCTTTCTCCAAAAACTGACCCGATCTGAGTCACGCTTTTCTTCTTCTTTCTCCAGAAAGAAATATCCTTGCCAACACCCACAGTAAATGATAAACTCTCCTCCCAGTTAACTCCCTTTCTTTTGCAACCCTTTTTCATTTTAGACATAATTTAATGTCACACTGAACTTCCTGAGAAGTAGTGTCCGCCTGTGACACTACACCGGCCTCAAAGTAGACACTACTAATGCCTGGTATTCAAGATTAAATGGTTTTATCCCTTTTCAACCAATTAGTCCCTATTGTGTGATTGTAAATGTGTAATTAGGTTGTTTGGGCCTTCATATAACTTCACATTTATAACAAACACATTTCAACTGCAAAAGATATGAGAAAAAGTTACCTGTTCAATAACAGTATTGAGTTATCGTACTTATTAGGTCCTATTAGTCCCAACTATCTTGGAGGACGCAAAAAATCGCACACCATATAAAAGCTGGGTTCTCAGGAGTGTAGAATCCCTGATGATGCACACCCCTGATACCTACCATGGGTCAAGCTGACCGATGCACTTGATCTGTTCACAGGAGCCAATTCCATTTGAAGCGTCTCTGCTTGTGCTTGGTTGGCTTGAGTACCTAGAAAGTACATAGATGTGTATGTAGTACCGCGATAGTTAGATGCCTGTCACCATGTGTTTTCTGCCCTGTCATGGTTTCTGGCCTTTGGGTCAAATCTGCTTAGTCCCGTTAAGCTGCAGGAGTTTGAGTGGAGCGTGATGCAGCACTTCCACTTCCCCTTGGCCCCAGCAGCCTGTATAAAAAGAGACGTGAGGGTACAGAGAGGCCAGATCTACAGCTCACCGACAGCACGTCCAACTGGTTTCAAACTTTGAGCTGTCTTTTAAGGAGCCAGAAAAACTATTTCGACGTGACCTGTGAAGATGGAGACCCAGAGGAGTGCGAGGAAAAATGACACGGCTGAATCCGGCAGGTATGACACGGTGTTCGACAGGCTTTAAAGAGAGGAAACAGCCCAAAAACTTCGCTTTTCTTACAGCGAACGTTGAATTATTCTGCTTTTTTCCCCCCTGTGTCTGTCCCTCAGCGATTTATCCGAGCAGATTAAAGCTGCCACAAAGGACAACCACGTCCGAGCTGAGAACACCCAACTGATGCTGAGTTACCAGAAGGGACAGATCACACTGCCGCAGTACAAGGTAATCCTCTTATTTAATCTGTGTTTCTCTCCCTGTTGAGACACGCTGGTATTCACCTGGAGGCCTCTGTCAGGTCCTGCTCTGCTCCCTGTACGTGATCTACAGAGCTCTGGAGGAAGAGCTGGACCGGAACTGCTCCCACCCGGCCGTTGCGCCGATATACTTCCCCCAGGAACTGGCCCGCCTGGAGACCCTGGAGAGAGACCTGGAGCACTTTTTGGGCTCGGACTGGAGGGACAGAGTGATCGTCCCCGCGGCCACGCAAAGATACGAACAGAGGCTACGAGAGGTGGAACAAACCTGTGGTGATAGGTGAAATCAAGCATGCAGAATTCTCATTTACCTTTTTTTTTCAGATTGGGAGGGAGAACCCAGAGCTGCTGGTGGCCCACGCTTACACTCGCTACCTGGGGGATCTGTCCGGAGGGCAGGTGCTGGGGAAAATCACCCAGAAGTCCCTGGGGCTGAGCAGCAGAGAGGGGCTGTCGTTCTTCTCCTTCCCCGGCGTCACCAGCCCCCACCGCTTCAAGCAGCTGTACAGGGGCCGCATGAACAGCGTCGAGCTGACGGAGCCGGAGAGGGCGGCCGTGCTGGGGGAGGCGGTGGCGGCCTTCGAGCTCAACATCCAGGTGGGCCGAAAAGGGGCGAGCGGCCGCCGGTTCACCCAGTGACCACAGAGAGTCGGTTTAAGACCAAATCCTGCAGAGAGGAAGAGAAACTAAAGCTATTAAACTTCCCATCACCCCCCGCCTTTTCTTCCCTCAGGTTTTCGATGACTTGCAAAAAATGCTGAGCGTCGTGGCAGAAGCAGCGGACCAATCAGAGGACGGCGTCCCAAAGGCCCGGGCGCCCGTCCTGCAGGTCACCGTGGGACTGTGTCTGGCACTGGTCACCGTCGGATTGGGGATCTATGCCTCATAGTCATCGGCTGTTCACTCAAATAAGCACAGGCAGCACTTTACTCCTCAGAAATCAAGACTAAAAACTTGTTTTTTCCCCCTCACTGTGTAAAAAAAAAAACTTTCCAAGCTTTTCATTCGTGTAATCCTCGCCGATGCACTTTCGGCAACTGGTCCGTGATTCGTTTAATAAAAACAAGCTGTTCAATCAGAATCTGGTTCTCAAATCACTTTTTATTAATTCCTTAATTTTTACACTGCATTTTATAACAATTTTTGTTGACACAAAGGAGCACTGACACCATAACAGTGGCGCCTTTTATCCATACTTTTTTCTTTTTTTTTTTTTTAAACATTATAAGCTTCATCAAGAATGGACAAATTAATAGTGAGGAGGGATCATAACAAACAGAACTATGTACATAAAAAATAAAGAAATAGACTACAACAACAGAGCAGGATTGGCTCTACTTGATTCTGTACAGGACTTTTCTCTGCATGCGATGCTGGAGCTCCCCCCTCCTCAACATCAGCTGGAGGACTTTGTAGATGGCGTGCTCTGGGTACTTCTGCAGAAGGGACAGAAGGGGAGTTGGTTATTAAATGTGTCTTTTGTTGTTTTGTTGTTCAAACACAATGCTGAAATAAACCAGCTGTTCTGGAACAACACTTTTGGTGCAGAATCGCTGTGAAAACCTATCCTAAGCAGTTAAAAAAAAAAAAAAAGGACGAGGAGCATAGCATGCGCTGTATGCCTCTCCACTTGCCCCCCCCCCTCGTTTTCACCCCCGCTGACCTGCTTGGTGAAGTCCTGAACGATGCTGTGCTCCGACACCTGGGAGCCGATGGCAAAGCGTCTCTTGAGCTGCTTCTCCACGCGGGAGATCATCTCCTGGTCCTCCTGAGAGGTGAAGCCCTCCACTCCTGCATGGGGGAGAAAAAGAAAGAGGAGCGGGAAGAGTTAGGATTGGCTTATATTAATTTACTTTACAGTTTTACTTTTACTTGATGTTTCTTTTTGCAATCAACTCAGTGCAATATTCATTGATGTTTCTTTTGTAATAACTCTGTGCAATAATATGTATATACATGCTCTTACCCTGTAAATATCTAGCTCTTAGTTATAGAAAACATATTCATTGAGTAGGAATAAGGTCTTAGCTCTGTCACACTGGTAGCCAAGTAATCGACATTTCGTTGTCAAAATTCACCTTGTGTTTTTTGTACAATGACAATAAAGGAAGTCTAAGTCTAGAAGTAGCAGTGCCTGGAAGTTGCTTCTGGTAACAAATTTTTTTATAAGACTTGTGCTTTTAGAAGAAAACACATTCCGACAGAATATCGAGCCAGAGTGGAGTCAAAAAAAGCCCCTGGGCGCACCTGAGAGGCTTCCAGACAGGGCGGCGTCCAGCGTGGACACCTGGAAGAGCCGGAGGGCCTCGTCCACCTCCTCCTCGCCGGCCACGGCCTGCAGCTTCATCTTGGCCAGCGACTCGGCCATGCGCACGACGGCCTCCAGCTGCCGGACGGTGATGGGGATGGAGGCCCGCTTGTCGATCTCCCTCTCATGCTCGCGGGCGCCACTCCTCATCACCACGTAGCGGTTCTTCAGCTTCTCGGCCGCCGCCGCCGACAGCCGGGGGCCGCATTTGCTGCAGGCGGACAGCCACAAGGGGGAGAAAAAATAAATGAATGAGACGGGGCGCCTCATGGATGAACTGCGACTGGATTAAAAAAGCTCGCAGACACTCACGTTCGGGCGTAGGCGATGTACTTCTTGAACGTGGCCAGCGGGATCTCGCCCTCCACGCCCTCCGTCTGCGTGCGGGCGCTCAGGTGGACGTTCATCACGTGACGGGCCAGCGTCTGGGAGTAAATAAATACAGTGAGCCCCGAGGGTCAAAAAGGGGTTGTGCGCAGATTCCTGTGATGCGTCTTCATACCCCCAGAAAGAAGGCGGTGGTTCCCCCCTTACCATGTCTCTCTGGTGGTCGTGGTGGTCTTTGATGATGAAGATCATGTCGAAGCGGGACAGGATGGTGGGCATGAAGTCGATGTTGTCCTCCCCCTTGGTGTCGTCCCAGCGGCCGAAGACAGAGTTGGCGGCGGCCAGGACGGAGCAGCGGGAGTTCAGGGTGGTGGTGATGCCGGCCTGGGGGGGGGGGGGGGGTTTTTGGAGGTCAGTTCATCCCCGTTCCAACACCTACCCCCCAAAATCGGATGTTGGCGACATTCAGAGATTGTTGCCTTGGCGGTACCTTAGCGATGGAGATGGTCTGCTGCTCCATGGCCTCGTGGATGGCCACTCTATCGTCCTCTCTCATCTGACCAATGAAAGAACGGGCGTGGCTTTAAGCTCAAGACAAGGAGGAAGACGGGAAAAAAAGCCCAACTCACGGCCGGGGTATTTTTTTTTTCTTTTTTCAAAGCCTCACCTTATCGAACTCGTCGATGCACACCACCCCGCCGTCGGCCAGGACCATGGCGCCCCCCTCCATGATGAACCCGCGGGTGCTGGGGTCCCGGAGCACCGAGGCGGTCAGGCCGGCCGCGCTGCTGCCCTTTCCCGAGGTGTAAACCTGAGGGTGTGGACCAGTTCAGCGATCCCGCCGTGCACATCGGCTCCAGAAGGCCGATAGCCGAATGAATAAATGGAGACCTACCCCGATGGGCGAGCACCTCTCCACAAACTTGAGCAGCTGAGACTTGGCTGTTCCGGGGTCCCCGAGCATCAGCAGGTTGATGTCCCCCCTGCGGGTCAGACCGTCGGGCAGCCTGTGGGACAAGACACCAAACCGTTACTGTGGGGATTTTCTTGGGTGGAAGGTACAAACATTTTTTTTTTGGGGTCGCCCCACCTCTTCCTGGAACCCCCGAAGAGCAAACAGGTGATGGCCTTCTTCAGGTCTTCGCTGCCGTAGATGGAGGGAGCCAATGACCGCGCCAGGGAGCCGTACACGTTGGGGGAGGCGGCCAGGGCCCTCAGCTCCTCCTCCTCCTGCGGGGACACCGACCCGGTGGCGCCCCGACCTGGAAGAGACGGCGATGGAATCGAGCGTGGAATGAATAAAACTGCCCAGGAATCGGCCTTGAAAAGAAGGCCCCTCCAAGGAAACGAAAGACAGGAATCCAGCTTTACCTGCTCCCTCCGTGTCCATCTGGATCCCCACCACCCGCAGGTAGGGCGCCCGGATGCCCACGCCGGCGCTCTTCTCCCTGCCCTTGGCCTTGGGGGCGGCCACTTTTTTGATGGAGTAGATGCCCATGATGGTCACCCTGTTGCCGGGCACCACGCGGTCGCACAGGTACCTGAGGAAAAAAACAAAACAGAAGGAAACCAGATGAGAAAAATGGCCGCCCTCCCGGCGACTACCTCCGGTGATAGGGGTCTGAGTCCCACCTGTCGCAGTAGAGCTGCAGGTGGCGCGGCATCTCCCCGTGCGGCACGGCGTCCGGGGACTCCTGCAGGCGGAGCGTCTGGAAGTCCACGCACACGCAGCGGTCCGGGATGATGAAGTACGGGTCCATGGGACACTTCACCCGGCCGGCGCCCTCGCTGTGGGAAGAGGCCCAACGCCCGTTTGAGTGCAAAAGGAAAAACAACCCTAACTCCCCCCCAAAGATGCCGCTTTCTTGTCCAACTACTCGGTTTTGTTTTTTGTTTTTTTCCTTAATATGGTTTATGTCTGACGTTAACACAAAAATACAATATGTGAACCTTAGCATTATAAAATTAGACAGTAAGTTGGATACGAAAGAATAAACCAACCCCAAAAATACCCTAAAAAAACAAAAAAATAAGAAAACCCAATAGGGATTTCCATATGCAAATGAATAATGTGTGAATAATATATAAATATTTTTAAAAAAGCAACCCCAACTCCGCCTCAAAGAGGCCGCCCTCTTGTCCAACCCCTCTGTTTTGTTTCGTTTGTTTTCCTCAATATGATTAATTTCTTATGTTAACACAAGGTTACAACATGTGAACATTAATATTATAACATGAGACAGTAAGTTGGATGAGAAAGCATAACCAAACCCCTTCCCCACAAAAAAACAGACAAAACAAAACCCAATAGGAATTTCCATATGCAAATGAATAACGTGTGAATAATATATAAACATAAAAGAAATGTAAAAAAACAACCAACCAAAAAACAACAGACAACAAAAAGTACTAACGAGTGAATCCAAAAATAAATATATAAATAATCGTATTAAAAATGTGTGGGTGGGAGAGGATTCTTCCTAAACATCGGTACAAATCGTCTAGCCAGCAGTGGAAGGAAAGCCACAAAAATAAAGCGCGACGAGGTGATCGTGGCTCGTTTCTGGGGGGGGAACCCCCAAATAAAAAAAGGGCGTGGGACCCACCTGTTGCACTTGCGGGGGAGGGCGTAGCCCTGCAGGCCCGGGGGCAGGGGGATGTTGTTGATGACGGCGCGGCAGCCGCGGCACTGCAGGCACACCCGGGTGGCCTTGGCCTTGACCCCCGTGGCCGAGATGACGATGCCGTGGACCTTCACCAGGCGGGACACCTGCTCCGACTGCGGCCGGAGAGGAGAGGAGAGGAGGAAGGGTGAGGCGGCTGACCCCCCGGCGGCGGCGGTGGGCCGGAGGGCGCCCACATGGCGGGTTGGGGTACCTTGAGGTTGCGGATGGAGGCGTGGTGCGCCTCGCTCTTCAGCATGACCTGGACGTCCTGCACCGTCTCCTCGCCCGCCGGCCGGGGGCGCGTCACCTCGTCCGCCACCTCCTTGGCGGCTTCCTCCAGCTGTGGAGGAATAAGCAGCCATCAGAGAAAAAACCCCTGATTTACAGGATAACTATGTGATGCAATTAACAGGAAGATGAGACGGATTCTCCAGATTGGTCTTGTATAAAAACATGACAGTGAATCGTAGGAGTTTTTAAGTGTGTTTTTAACAGTCTCAGGTTTATGCTTGCTCTTAAGTTAGGGGGTGTTTATTCAAATACTCGTTAATCATTGGAAATATTCAATACTGTAAGATGGGGTCGGTGTCTTGCAGGTTTTTTAGGTTTCCCTGCTAAAAACACACCTGATTCATGTCATTGTGCCATTATCAGGCTTTTGTGGAGCCCTTTTTATCAGAATCAGCTGATGCTGAAGCAGGGAAACCTCCAAAACCTGCAGGACTGCAGCCCTCCAGGACCAGAGTTGGACAGCCCCATCTTAAGATGAAGGAAAACTAACCTTTGTTTTTAAGATCTGCTTTTAACCTTGTATCCCAGTGCCACTAATTGGAACAATAACAAAAGAGTTAACATATTGGAAGTAAATTGCAACCCTTACAGTTGCAATAAACATAATGCACCTACTCCATTTTTACTCAAATTTGCTTCTTGCAATCTAATATTAAATGTTACTCTCTTTAAGTTTTAGATATTATATAAGATACCAAACCACACGCATTAAATGTGGAGGCTGAGCCATTTCCTCCAAGTTTTGGCTTTTCTGGAAGCTGTACTCATAATTTGAAACAAAGATTTGATTTTACATGTCACATTATCACCAAGAGGCCAACCTAGATTAATTGATTTGTTTATTAAGATAGTAAAAAGGTTAACCATACAGGGACAGGCGATATTGCCAGAAGGTGGGTTAGAGGCATTTTTACATTGCAACCTAGAGACCATAACCACTAGATCCTAATAATGGTTCCATTGTGAACCTTTAGGATTAGGAGCCAGTTGGATCTTAATCAGGACCACTTACCAACGGCAGGTTCTCTGTAGGCAGCTTGTACAGACAGTCGGACAGGTCTTCATCAAAGCTGGAGAGGTCCTCCATCTCCACCTCCACCCAGTACTCGCCCATGGTGTAGTGTCGCTTCAGCTCATCTCTGATGGAAAAGATGAGATATAACATGGAAATCTGGCATTACAGTGAGTAAAAAACAGGAAGCTGACGTTTAGATTTATGCTAAAGGCTTATCCTGCCATTCTTAAAGGTGGTCCACTTAATTATTAGGTTTTAAATGAAGGAGCAGTCAATGTAAAGGTTTCTTTTAGGGACATAGGTGCGGATTTGACGTCTAATATGGATCCATGTCTAGAAAATGCATCACGATAAACAACTTGGAACAGACTTAGTCTTTTGTCTTGTATCTATGACTTCATAAACACAATATGGGTCTCGGAACACCTATCCCGGGCCATGTTTTCACCTGTATTTGAAGGTGAAGCCGGTTCGGTCGGTCCCCACTCTGAACTGGCGGAGGAATTCGCGGAACCGCTTCTTGATCTGGATCCGCTTCTGTCCGCCCTCGTCGTACCCGGGCCCCTCTCCGCCCCCGAAGCTGTCGCTGTAATACACTCCCGGGTCGTCGAAACCAGACATGCTGCGGCAAAAGAAAAACCAAAAACCGAGCGGTAAAAGTAGTTTTTCGCTCTCAAAAAGCTAAAAGCTAAAGCTGGACGTAAAACAAACGGAGCTCCACGGAGTGGTGAGGTCGTTTCGCGGTAAAAAGGGAAAGAAAAGGAAACCTCTTCCTGTCTGTTTCGCGCGAGCCCGCGGTGTGACATCGCCGTGTGATTGGCTGAGAGAAAGGAAGCTTCTTTCTATTGGTCAGACTGTGTCTTTGGGAGGAGTGGGTACAGAAATGAAGGCGGGGCCTGGGAGCTGCTATGGCGCGAAAAAGACAACTGAGGGAGGAGCCATTGGCGCGTGGTGTCGCCTGTTTTTATCACAAAAGAGTTAACCAAATTGTATCCTACCAAAGAACCCATAGTTTGCCTTTTTTTGGCAAAAGACATACCTAATCCCTCTTGAATCAACCGACACGGTTTGTTTATAAAGCCCAGAAGTATAAAGCTTCTGTCTGTTTTCAGGGTATCTCTCTGTTTAAAGGTTTAACATGCTAGTCAAAACAAAAAGAAATAATCTAGCCCATACCCAGGAGTTTTATTTAGATACATATAACCCAGTGGCGGCTGGTGAAAAAAAATCTTGGTGGGGCTGGTGTGCCAATATATTTCCCTGCCTAACCCAGTACATGCATTCAAGTTAAAAGTCGTAAAATTAGTACAATTCCACAATAATTATTTAATTCCCTTATCAGAATCAGCAGTTTACATATACAGTTAACCATTTGAAGCTATATTAGGTCTTATTTTGGAAGGGAATAGTATGAAATACAACACTCAATTTTACTATTTTTCACCAAACACACAAAGTAAGCACACAGGTGGTTAGCTTAAACCGGTTAGCTTAACAGTTTTCCATATGAACTCGTGATATTTCATGTTTCTTAGTTGTTCAGAGAGGTGTTTTAAGTCTGTCTGTCCAGACTGTGTCCACGTCAAATATCTCCGGTCGCTTTTAAAAGGATGTGGGAGAAACATAAAAGTGCTTTGGCCGTCCCACTGGCAGTCAGCCAGGACTTACGCTGGAACCAGCTCCTGCTAAAAGGGCCGGCTGTAAGACTTAGCTTTTTCATTGGTTCGCTGCGTTAAATTTATTTCGGACTTGTCAGGTCCCAGCTTCTTTACGTTTAATTTTTCCACCATTGTCCTTCTCACGAAAGGGTAAATATCTCAGTAAAGATCTCACTGAATTATGTGAAAGCAGCTCTACAACTGTCGCCGTCGCCGCCATCTCTACGTCACTGCCTGACTGACCACTAGCTATACGTCTATGGCTTTGGGGCGCCAGCTCCAAGCGCCCCAAAGCCAATAATTTCGGCGATGCTGATTGGCCAAATATTTATTAATTTTCCCTAGCAACATTTTTCAATTGGTTATTTCGCTGCACTTTGGGGCGCTTAGGGTTAGCGCCCCAGAAGAGAAACGATACGTTCTGTTGGTGGAAATGCACTGTTGAATGAGAGTCAGTTGGTGGAAGTGTTGTTTTAATAATTCATATTACATGTAGCCACATATTATTAAGTAAAACTGACATTGATAATACTTTAAAAATAAATATATATATTATAACTTTCCCCCTCCACATCTAGGGGGGGCGGCGCCCCAGCGCCCCCTATGGGCCGGCCGCCACTGATATAACCTCAGATTAATGACAACAGGAGCTAACTGTTTTTTTCTCAAGAAATTCGAAGCAGACAGCAGCTTTTATGTAATTGAATTTATTTGATTAATCAAATCAGGAAGTGGGAGTACCTCTACATAAACAGATGTTTTTTGCAGTTTGTTAGTCTTAAACATTCAGGTTGCCAAGGACACCCATCAGCAATTATTTTAGGAGCAACTGTTGCTGCCCATCTATTTGTGATGTTTAAGTAATAGAATTATTCATACAAAAGGGGGGGGACTTCCAGGAGGTGATAAGTCAGCACGTCTTTTAGACAAAGAACAGACTGCTCAGAGAAATCGGATAAAAAGATTGTTGCTCTTAGCTTGAGGGGATGATTTACTGACACTGTGTTTTGTGCGGAGCTGGTTTATTGTGAATAAACTAGACAATGCATGCTCAAATTTTTAACCCCACAAACAAGATGGTGTGCATCACAACGCAACACGCATGGTGGTGGAGTGAATGGGGCTTAATGAATGTGTTACAGCCACCATGGCTACACATGTTGTAGTTGCTAAACCATCTTTGGGACTTCAGTTTTGATTTGACTCTTGGCTTTCACATGTTGGCAATGAATAAACTTTATTAGAAAGAAAGACAAAGAGCCTGAGTATTTTTCAAGTTTAATATTTGCCATGATAATTCCTCACGATGCAACATTGTCTTACTTAAAGCCACTCTAAACTTGCCAAGTGCTGTTACAATATTCAAAACTCCCGATTTTGGATTAGATAGAAACATTTTTTTCTCCTGGGAGAAAGTGCAGGAGCCGAGGAATTATTAGCCCTTTTTCTCCTCAAATGCAGACCTACACTTTAGCAAAAAAGCGCTTGGGTCAGCTAGAAAACATCAATAACAATCAGCTCCACTGACCAACAAAATGTAACTAAGGTTTTGCGTCGAGAGCTTTCACGGCTCTTCAGTAACAGGCGGCGGGATCTGTAAAGGCGAGCGGTTGGCCGGGTCCCTCTCAGGAGACGACGCCGTGCTTTCTGCCGGTCTGGATGAAGGCGTCCACGCACCGGTCGATGTCCTCGTCTGTGTGGGCGGCCGAAATCTGAACGCGGATCCTGGCTTTGCCCCTCGGTACGACCGGGTAGGAGAATCCGATCACGTAGATTCCTGTGGAGGCCGGAGGTGTTTTTTTAGAGCCAGCGGGTGGCGTTTGGAAGCTCTCGACTTAAAGCGGGCGGTCTGCTCTGCCTCACCGTGCTTCAGCATGTCGTCAGCGATGTCGGAGGCCAGCCGCGCGTCGCCCAGCATCACGGGGCAGATGGGGTGGGCCGAGCCTGCGATGGTAAAGCCCGCCTGCGTCATCTTGTTCCGGAATCTGATTGGAACGCATTAAAAAAAAAGTGCTTTTTAAAAAAAATCAGAGTTGGAGAGCAGATAGCGGTGTATTCAGAGAAAACTCACCTCATGGTTTTGGCCGTCATGCTCTGTGCGATCTCGTTGGAGGCCAGCAAGAGCTCCACAGCCCGGGTGGCGCAGCCCACCACGGGTGGGGGGAGGGCGTTGGAAAACAGGTAGGGCCTGGAGCGCTGCCGGAGCAGGTCGATGAGAGGCTTGGGGCCCACTGTGTAGCCACCTGAGGGGAAATAAAACCAGACATAATCAAAGAGATGGTTACTTATAGTGAGACAACTCTGTACGTATGAGCCTCGGCATGGTGGAGCTTCCTAATTCTAGAGGCCCGTAAACGCATCAGCGCCTCCTACCTGCTGCCCCGCCCAGCGCTTTTCCCAGGGTGGAATTTACAATATGGACTCTGTCCATCACTCCAAGGAGCTCGTCTGTTCCTCTGTGGAAAAAAAACTTGTCAGGTTGTACACGTTTCAGAAGGGCTCAGGCTTGATTTAATAACCTTTCAACTTGGGCACTGGGCTCTCATTCAGACTGATGTTACCTACAATCCAGTGGTTACATTCAAAAGGAAAAAACATTGGGGCAACCAAGTAGTTTGTCAGTTTTTCCTAAGAAAAAAAAAAAAAAAACCTTGCACCAACACATAGGGACAACACATCCAGAGAGGCTGACTAGCATCCTCAAAATGTTTAACTTTTTCTTACCCCTACACCACAAATACGATGACAGTATGGAATTAAACTTGTAACATAGCCGGAATGATCCACCGAGGTGATGTTGAAAGTGAACCCACATAGGTCAAAATGGCACATCCAAAACGAGCCGTGCCAAAAGCCTACCCACCTGCCCCTTGCCCCCAGGAAACCGGTGGCGTGACACTCGTCTATGAACACCATGGCTCCGTACTGCTCCGCCAGGTCGCAGATCCCCTGTAAGGGAGCGACGTCTCCGTCCATGGAGAAGACTCCGTCCGTCACTATCAGCCGCATGCGGGACGACTGAGGAGGAAGCGAACAGGAGGAGGTTGAGTGGAGCCCGGGGCGATGACCGGTAGAGGTAGAGTGGTCATAGGGGGTTCTCTGAGCACCTGGGCCTCTTTGAGCCTGTGCTCCAGGTCGTGGAGGTCCATGTGCTTGTAGCGCAGCCTCTTGGCTCGGCACAGGCGGATGCCGTCGATGATGGAGGCGTGGTTGAGCTCGTCCGAAAGCACCGCGTCGTCTGGGCCCAGCAGCACCTGCGTAAACGCCACAGCGTTTGGGCGATTCGTCAAACGCGAGGAGGGAACCTCGGTGTGTTTGTTTGTTTGTTCGTTCCCCCGCGTAAAGATGCAGAAAAAGCAAGCTTCGACAAACCTCAAAGAGCCCCGCGTTGGCATCGAAACAGCTGGCGTAGAGGATGCAGTCCTCCCTCTCGTGAAACTCGGCGAGCTTCTTCTCCAGATGTTTGTGCAGGTCCTATAAATAAAACAAGTATATACAATATATATAAATAAATATACACTATTTTGTACGTACACACACACACTAGTTAACCATTGGTGTCCAAGTACATGCTCTAAATTGGAGACAATTATGTTTCTGTTGCCGGGATTTGAACAAAAAGAGGCGGGTCCTCCTGTAAGGAGTCGCTCCCATAACACGCCCGGTCACGTGACCCCCCGGCCAATCGGCAGCCTGCAGTCTATTGTCCCCTCGACTCAGGCTGACAATGGAGCTTTCCCCCCTATTAGCGCCTACTCAGCTCTGCGTGGTTTGGCCCGGCACGGCTCTACGGGGTTCAGGTGGTTTTCCCATTACAAAGTAGGGCCGAGGAGAAAGGCGGTGACGTCATCCATATGCGACGCAACCGCCCGACAACGAAATGAAATTTCGTAATTGAAATTGCACCTTCATTGTTGCCCCTAATAGTCGGGGGTTTACCTGCTATCTAATTGTGTGATTTCCCTGGCAAATCAGAGCCCAGCGGCCTGCCGTGGGCCCTACTCAGCCCCGATGGAACCCCGGCTGAGTAGGAGCTAAAATTGGGCCAGACCCTAGTGGAAATGTGGGCAACCAGGTACCAGGAACCCCCTCTTTGGTGATCACACATTTATTTTAACCCCTTTGGCCTTTGCAGTACCTCCCATCTCTACATTTGGTCCTCTTGTTTAGACCTTAAAAGCCTCCTCTTGGGTCACAACACATAATACTGCTTACACACTAGAATACTATTCTTACCGTAGTTCTTAGTAGTACTAAAATGGCATAAATAACCTTAGAGTTGATAATTTGCTTTCTTTATATGTGCAGAATAAATAGGGTATAAAAGACGATTGTCTCACTCTGTTGTTGTGTGTTTAATGTAGTCAAGGTTTAGAAGTCTTTCCTTTCCGTCCTCTGTTGTTAAGGCCGGGCAGGAATAAACCAGATCGACTTAACCACCGTACCTGTGTCCCGCAGATGAATCTGACGGAGCTCAGTCCAGCACCGTAGGCCCTCAGAGAATCAATTCCAGCCTGCACCACCTCTGGATGACTGGACAGTCCGAGGTAGTTGTTGGCACAGAAATTCAATATACCTGTGAGGGCGCATTTCAAGGGAGAAGATACAAGTTATTGCTTTAGATTTAGATTTATAAACATAAACATAAACATCCCGAATTCTAGAAAGATGTCACATTTATACTTAAACCAGTAAACACCACGCAGCGTCAGCAGCTCCAAGCTTGCATTTGGAGTTCTGCCTGACTTTGGGGCAAAAAGCCAGACCAATAAAGAGAAGCAACGGAACAAAGGGGGACAAAAAAACTAAACAAAAAAGAAGACAATACAAAGCCGCACGGCACATCCGTGCACTTGAATTGAGCGGTGGGTTTCCCACATGACGGGTCGTGGCCTAAAGTGACCGGGACGTTCATAAATCAGCAGAGTCCATGTCTGGAAAAGGTTCACGCTGAAAGTCAACATCTGATAGGCGCTTTGTTAGCTGGACGGCGGGAGGGTCCAGATAAGCTTCTGCGCCCCAAGTTCACTCCCCAGTCGGGAGTTTTCACAAAGCCAACAAAAAGCTTAAACAACAAACTGTTATTATAAAAAAAAAAGCCCCAGTAGTCATTATTTCAGTGAAATGCCTCAGGTTTAACGGTTAGGTAACATCTTGGCAGTGTAATACCCAACCAAAAAGCAACTAAATAGCCACCCAGACCAGTTAAGACACTAAAACCTGTATATTTACTTGCAATTCTTCAGTTGTCATGTGATTACAGGTTTAAACTGCTTATGATTGACAAGTGTATTGGAACTGTGTACATTCTGTTACAATAATCCAGAGTTGTAAACTTCTCACTTCAACACATATATATATAGAATGGTAGAAAATGCTGCCTATTGATTCAAATCAATAACAAAATATTGAAATATTTCAAAATTGGTGTTACGTCAGAAACCAAATGGGTGGAAGACTTCTGGCTTGTGACAGTGTCTCCTTCTGAAACTACGTAAACTACGTAAGATATCAAAGCACATCTTACACCTTGTTTTTAAGGACACTTAGATAACTAAAGCCGTTGGTGTAACCTGCGACCACTTACTGCCACTGCTGCCGTCCACGTTTATTTGAGGACCCTGCTTGGACGTAATTATCCTCTCCGCCTTCCACGTCCCCGCGGCTCGGATAGACTCGAGCTCGTGCTCCAGCACGGCGCGAGCTTCGGCCACAGCCACGTAGCTCCTCTTCAGAACCGTGTCCGCGGACCGTAAGACTCCCCGGACCGGCTTAAGCAAACTTCTGGCTGCATTTCCGACGGACATTGCGCCGAACCGGTTTTGTCTGAAGTCTCTGAACGCGACACGGCAGGCACAGACGTTAAGAGCGACGCGGAGCGGTTGCGTCACACAACAAAGATGGGCGTTCGCCAGCGTAGCCAATCAGATGGTAGCACCGTGTAGGAAGTGTCTTATTTGATCCAATTATATTTCAAGTATTTAGTCGCCACATCCGCAGCAGTAGAAGAAATAATCCACTACCCAATAAAAAATATAATTCTATTAACCCTATGTTATTATTATTATTATTATTGTTATTATTATTATTATTATTGTTATTATTATTATTATTATTATTATTATTATATTTAAAGCAACTTCTGAAAGGGAAGGGAAAAAAGGGAAGAAAAAAAATCCAATACCTAAATGCAATTTACAATAAAACTGAAAAAATGTATCATTAATCTATCTTTAAACAAACGTAAAGAATTATTTATGATCTTTAGAAGTCAATCAATTTTTTGCGAATTGAATTAAAAAAAAAGATTAAATGGGTTACATGGCTTCCATGGTAATTAAGTTATTTAACTCAAGCTGAGTTTTCATTTCAAACAACTGTGTGATTCCATAAAGAGATTTGTCCAACAATATATTTGACAGTAAATATCCGTTATCGTAAGGATATAAAGTAAAAACAGGTAATGGGTAAACATTGTGTAAAGTGAAAAGATATACCGACATAATATAAGTTAATAGTTTTAGTTTAATAAAGGACAAATCGTTGATTCATCATGACTTTTTCTTTCTTCAATGGGAAAAGTTAAAAAATCTAATCTGGCATCATCTACAGCCAACAAGTTGATGCGAATCATCAAATGATCACAGTATGTTACATACAGCAGGGCTTCTCTTACAAGTTTACAGTATTCTGTTATGTGGCTTTTACCCATTCATAGAACCAATATATATACAGTATGTATTTATATATAGATACATTTAACATTAATATAATACATGACTTTTTTTTCCTGCAACAGCAGAAACATACAGATATAAAATGTGCAAAAGTTTTCTCACATACAAACATTCATGGCAATGCCAAGTAGAAACCTTTGTCCTTTGACAAACAGGTTATTTTCTATATCAGTTTAAACTTGTTTGCTCTCCTGTAAACAGCAGGGTCACAAACAGCCTTCCTTAAATATGGAATGTAATTCCCGACATACTGTGTGTGCTTCGAAGCGGTTCACGAACAAAGACGTCTCCACGCGCCGGAGCTTGGTGACTTCTGTTAGTCTGTTGGGTTTGAACGCGGTTTAGGACTCGGAGCAGTCTGCGTCCTGTGAGGGGGCTCGCAGCGGAGGCAGGCGCTCGGCTGCTTTCGCTCGCTCGGCCAAAAACTTGTCAAACTCTGCAGGAGGAAAAACAGGATACCCTCTGTCTGTCAGTTCAGGGTAAACGAGTGAAAACAAATAGAAAAATAACAGAAAAACAGAATACAATTCATAGAGTATGATAGTAGTTGTGTAAACTGTGATTAATTCACGTTATGTTTGGGTTCCAGTTCTTAGAACCCCCCCTCCCTTGACATCAGATGAGCTTAGCTGAGTCTTTGTCTTGGCTTGGCAGAGATGTGATGATGAGTCACACAGTTGAACAAATGCATTGTTGGAGCAATAAGCCTCTAAGACATACCAGAAACTGAGCTGAGAACACTGCTATAGAATAAGATGGATGTTTACATGGAGGTTATAAGAGGCACCTGACACAGAGGAGCCCCTCTTTTGCCACCTGCTGGTCATACCACAACACTGTGGATGTTTGGACCAAATCTTTAAAAAAAATACGTCTAAAGCCTGCTTGTGCAACTAACTCCACAAATATTCAGCTCATGCTGTAGAAAACTCTTCATCTGAATGATGGAGCGGAGTGTTTTCTGTTCAGCAAAAACGTGAACTGCACTCAAGCTCGAATGTTGAATAAAAAGCAATGGCTGAGAAAAGTGAGTTTATGAGGAAATAAAGCATTAAGGATCCTCACCTTCGCTGGTCACGCCATCTGAGTCCTCAAAGTCATCATACTGCAGCACACAAAACACACAAAGGGCACATTTTGGCAATGAATTCCACGTATTTATGATCAAATCATGCTTAACCAAATTGTGAATACAATGCTGGGATGACTGCTTCTTTCTAACAGGCGAATTGTCAAACTAATTTCAAACAGGTATTTAATGTAAACAATTATGTGGTTATTTACGGATAAAAAATTCAATCAGCAATGTTCATGATGTGAAATGTTTTTGGGAATACCTAAGAAATCATTGTAATACTCTTCGTTTTGTGGCAATATATCCTATAATCCTGAATAAAAAACTTACTGTACTTAGTTTACAACCAACAGAATGAGACAAGTGTCCTATAGTTGCCATGTGCATATTATCCTTTCAACGGCATTACACTCAAATTATTAACTATTGTAGAGGTTCATTTGTTGTTTACAGAGTTTACAATTTTTAAGGTACATTTTCCATTTTTCTAAATTTGATAGATAGTTTTGAATGTTTTAATTTCAAATAAGGACTTTTAATTAAGGTTAAATAAATAGTTAGTTCAGTAAAATAACAACTGCTTTGGGTTTTCTTTCATTGGTCAATCTAGCTAAGTAAAATATTTGAACTTAGCTTTTGTGGGTTCGGTCTTTTTCTTTTTGGAAATGCAAATTACCAACACTAAGTTTCTTTACAATATGATATAATTCAATATTTCTTCCTCTACTAATAAAAAGAATGTTATGTCTGTTTTTGTTTGTGTTTACTCGAAGAAAAAAGCTGAACTGTGAACATCCTCCAGCAGAGCTGATTTTGGAGAGGATGTGCGCTGATCATTGTCCAATAAATGTAATTTCAATTAGTTTAATCCAGAACATGTAAATGAGCCTCTAACCTCATCTTCCAGTGAGAGCCATTTCTCAATATCATCCATTACGTTGGACTGGTTGATGGGAATCTGAGAAAGAAAAGAAGAACGGCAAGTTGGTCACCTCGGGTGAAAATCAGCCGGTGGTAAAACTCAATTATATTATACCAAGCCACCAATTCACAAAAGGAACAAACAAACAACACCCAGGGGAAATAAACACATTCAGTATCAGTGGATAAAGCATAAAACAGAAATGCATTTTGGGGAAATGTAAACCAAAAACATACTACGGTCATGCTCCCAGACTGAAAAACAGCATGCAAGCCGTTGCGGTTTATCCCAAAAACTATATGAAAAACCAAACCCAAAAATGTGATTGAAACAAAAGCAATCCAGGATACAGCACACATGAACCACCAGCTCGTGACAGAAGGTGTTGGAGGGTGAAAAACGGGGACACTTTGGACTGAAACCCACCATTCCCCTTTTTATCATCCAATCTAACTTTGGTGAGGAGCTGCGGGTGGAGGCGGGACTGTCGTCCTTCATGTACAGACAGAGAGTTCATTTAAGAGGAAATGGTTACTGACTCAGAGTGATGTCTTCTTAACACTTACGCCAAGGGATTTTTTTGCAAATCCCACACTGAGGCATTCATGTGTTCCCAAAGATCATATGACAGTAACTAATTGTATCACAAAATATGTCGCTAAATCTGTTAGTCCGTCTGAATCACGAGTTACTTGGTATTTGCTCACCATTCCAGGGTTTTGTGAATTGCTGTCCTGAGTTTGACCCATACCATCCACTGCAACTTCGTTCCTGTCCCTGAAAGACAAGATTTACTCGTTGGTTTACCCCGATTTTCAAGTGAATAGCTGATAACACAGCAGAAGGTTAAATGCTAGATTATATTGTTAATATAAATGAGAAAGAATAAATCTTAATTAAGATTAAAAACAAAGCTGTCCTCACTGAAAAATACTCAGCAGATGGTTCATGACTTCCATATAACAGATCAACCATTAACTATCAGATATTATCTATATTACAGTTCATCTTCAGAAAAATGAGCTCACACAGTGACAGAAAATATCTGAAATGCAGCAGTTGGTTTGCTCAAGATCAGTAAAAGTAATGTATGAATTGCTGTAAGCCATTTCTGTTTATTAGTTTCCATTGCTGCATTTCTTTGGAGGACACACACCAACAAAGTGACAAAAGGAATTCATTTGACAATTAAACTGCTAAATTAGAACCATATATCCATGTTATATGCTTGTCATAGCATGTTATTGCATTGATGTGTTCAACTAACAGCTAACCAACCCAATGCTATTTTATTTTTGCTCAGAGGATAATGCCATGCCAGCTATAGCTTGTTGTAAAGCTATTAGACAATATATTGTAGATTTTATCCCTTGTCAGATTAGTGTACATTTTTCTATCAGTTCTTTTGTCAGGTCTTCTGTAAATTCAACATATGTCTTCTGCAATCCATCAATTGTTTGCCAGTTTTTCTTCTCTTAATTCTCTATCTTAGTATCTTTTATTACCATGTTTCCAGATTTTCTGTAAACATCTTGTATCCAGCCTTTTTATACACTCAAAAGTGTGACATCCAATGCCGAAATGTAGAGGGATTTACATCGACTTTCCTTGAATTGAGATTTTCTAAGCTACTCTGTAGCTGTATAAACCTGTCACTGGGCTTGTTTCTTCCTGGGGGACAGAGGTATTGTTTAGCTTGTTTGTACCTTGGTCGTTGTTGACTTGAAACGTTCATTTTCTGTGACAATATGTCATCGGATTCACTTGTACCTGCAAGAACAAAAAGTTTTTCTAGTACAAAAACTGAGGGCTGGTATGAAGAGTGTGTAAGGCAAATGCAATAAGTGAATCACTGGATTAGCCATAGTAATAAATACATGATCTCCAGTACAGTTGTGACATGTGTACAATCTAAAAGACTGATAAATATGTCTTGGAGAGGTCTTAAGGAACTTTACACTAGCAGTCTTGTTAAAATCAACACAGATTCTGAATCTATATTGAAATACTTACTAAGTTTTGCCATCTGACTTGACAAGCTGTCCGCTTTTGATAGGCTGATGCTGCTGTCGCTTTTTGACGCAAACCCGGAGTGGCTGCCAGACTCTGCTTTCAAGTCGAGGTCCGCCAGGCTCTCGTGAGTGTGGCTCTGAAATCAGCAAGTCCCAAACCGTGTCACTTTTCACACAGGTGAAAAACGACAGTCAAAACTCAAAAGAGGCTGCCGCGTTCCTTACCCGGTGACCGTTCGTTATTCGCCTTTCGAACCTGTGACGGGAGAGAAGAGGATCGTCAAGAGATCAGAGAGAGTGGCTGAAACGTGAGGAGTCGGCGTGCAGACCTGTGGTAGCGGGTGAAGGCCGTGTTCATCTCGTCGTTGGCTGCCAGCAGCTCCTCGATCAGCTGCTCCTCGCTGAGTCTGGGGATGATCTTCACTATCCTGTCTTGCATATCCTTACAAACTGTGTATAACTGCTAATGAGACAATGAGACAAAGAGTGTGTGTGTGGGTGGGTGGGTGGGGGGGGGGGGGATTGACGGGGCAGATGCAACACAGAACGTATAAAGTACTAGATCAGTTAAGGGCCAGTGAAAGCATCGCTCAGTATGAAAGGAAGGAAAGCATTTTCTTTTTTTGCAGCAGCAGCAATGTGAGAAACGGGTTTAATTCCGACGGTAAGACACACGGAGTTCGATCATTTGGAATTTGAGTTTTTATTACCTCCAGCAGCTCCATGTCTGCTTGCTTTACCGTGACGGGATCGAGCTGACTCATCATGTCTGACATCGTGGTGAGGTTGCTTCGCACCACTCCCAGCTCTGTCTTCAGCTTTTGTACCTGGAATGGCAACATTGTTTGCTGAATTAATATGGCAAATTCCCTCGTAAGGGATCGGTTCTTGAGGAGAGCTTAAGGTAAAATGAGAAGGAGAAACGCAGACAGGAAATAGAAGTTGCCAGGAAAATGACATCAGATCTCTGGCACCGTCACCTGGCTGGGAGTGAAGGCGTGGGTTCCGTCAAAGGCCAGCTTTAGCTCAGAGGTCTGAGGGGGCAGGTGAGGAAGAGCGGAAGGCAGGCGGACAGCGGGCAGAGAGGTAACGGCAGGCCCGTTTCCGGTCGGAGTCTTGACGGGAAGGACGAGCGGAAACCACACAGAGAGAGAAACGACCGGAAGTGAGAGGTGGTTCCCGGAAAATAGGCGGAGAAAGAGGGGAATTCAGACCGACCCCGCCCGTCCGTACGTTCGCACCTTCTTTGGGCCTTGGGCCGACATGTAACCCTCCAGCTCGGTCACGGGGAACTCCAGGCCTTTCCTCCGCAGGTCCTCGTACACGGACACCACGCCCGTCAGGTCGGGCGAGCTGCGGAACGCGTCGGCCCACGCCTTTAAAAGAAAATCCGTCGTTTAGAGCCGCTAAAGCCGCCAGGCGTTGCCTGAGTTTTGCAAACAACCGCAAGCTTCCCAACCCCCGCTCACCTGTATGATGCCCAGCACCCGGTCGTGCACCACCGCCGGAGGGTTGTTCCTGGGAATGATGGACCGCACCAGGACCCCCTCTATGAAGTCCCGCGTGGTCACCATGACGTGGAACCTGTAGCCGCAGTTCTTCACGCACGTCTCCAGCACCTGGAGGGGACGAAGGGGGGGGGTCAGGCATAAGCCGGTGTGTCCAAACGTGCAGATTCGGACAAACGGCGGCCGGAGGCAGAACTCACCGTGAGCGCCAGCATGACCTCCTTGAAGTTTTTGTTCCCGACGATCCTCTTCTTTATGGCCCTCACCGCGTCTTTGGGCCTGCGAACAGAAAGGGGGCTTCAGAAAAAAAGCCCGGAATCTCACGACGGGGGGGGCCTGGCCCCCCGTTTAAACCGATGTTGACAGATAACACCCACGCAAAACACACACACCCTTCCTCCGAGCTGTTGATCGCGTCGCAGATCTCCATGTTGAGCTCCCAGTCTTCAGATGGTGAATCGGAGCTGGTCGCACTCTCTGAAAAAGTTAGAAGGCGGGGGGGGGGGGGGGGGGAGTAGAAGTGGGCAGACGGCTTAATAACATGCATCTGATAACTGGGATTAACATCCTGTTTGCCTTAATGGCCCATTTCTTAAGATTACTCGATTCCTTTATGCACTGATAAAAGAGCGTGTTTACATTTTTCTAACTTCAGACCAGATTCCAAAAAAAAACCAAGACGTGGTGTGAAACGGAGCAAAAACATTCCGATGATTTGCAAGTTTCACAGACTGATATCTCACAACAGCCATCACTTACAATAGAACATAGGAAAAGTTCAAAGTAGGACCTTGTACTTGTCACGATGAACAAAGGACAGCAGAGGGAAGAAAACGAAACGACACAGAGCACCTAATTAAGCTATCTTGGGTAAACAGGCCAGTAACGGGACTGGGTTTGAAAAGATCTTTAAAGTCCAACAACAAACGCATTCACTAGCAAAGTACTGGTCCCACATATCAATGTAAAATGGCCGTGACTTCACACATTCCATCCCGTCACCGTGTCTACTGGTGCTTATTGGATAAGGATGCAGTGCTATCCCAGACACAGAGAAATGACAGAAACCCGGTGCCTTTAAAAGCGAACACGCGGTTTCAGTCCTGAGGCCACTCTGGCACGTCTCTGATATCTCGCTCACTGTCCAGAAGCTGACCCGGCCTCTGGGGTCATCCCAGTTAGGCCGCCGGGCCGCTCCCAGAATTCGATTGAAGCTCGCTGTAAGTGCTTTCGGTCACTCTGCTCCGGCTCTGATGGAAAAAAACTGCCTGGGTCAGACACAGCTGGGCATGCAAATGCACGTGGACTGTACATCTAGGATTTAGTTATCGTTTCGTTTCCCATACTGTGTATCTGTGCTGATTTTTCTCATTGTAGGGGATAATTAACCCCACGATTTTTATCATCCCAGGTTGCCACTTGTCCCTCTGACACATCTACACAGATGATGGAAGGCCATCGCTAACTAAACCTGTCCAACAATAAGAACAAACAAACATGTGTGTTCTTGAAAATCAATTGGAAATGTGAAAACAAGGCATCGCTCCATGAAAAATTGGGGCTTCGTTATCTCTCACCCAGACAACGACAGGCTCTTCCAGCAGGACTCCGAGTGCCCACTTTGAAACTATTTTGGATAAGCCAGAGTGTTTCCTTTGCTGATTGGTCATCTAGCACCTCTAATGCTTGTTTTTCACTGTTTGTGGTTCCACGAAAAGGAAAGAAATCTACCAAATGCTAGCAGGGCCGGAATGTTCCTCTGTACCTTACCAAAAAAACTAAACAGACAGAAAAAGCTATAGCAGTCTCACCTGCTCTACTGGTTCCTTTTGTGCTCAGTCATTTAAATGTATTTGAATTAGAGTCACACTTCATGGTTACACCAGCATTTCTTGAACTTAAACAAACTGTGAGCTGCTTTGAATAAAAGACCACACTTCAAGATTAAATACTCCAGCAAATGAACCGATTGAAGATCAATACAGAACACTCAGTGTTACTGATAAAGACAATAAATACAAAGGTAAACTTTGCCAACGGGGTTCAGCGTTCGGTCTCTTGTTATCAGTAGATGACAAAACCCCCAAAGAACACAATACACCCTACATTATTTACAGGTTGGCCCAACTGCATGCCTAGAATTAGGAGAAGCCAATGACTGTCCACAGCCATGGTGGATTTAGACCTTTCAAGAGGCTATATTTGATCAAATACACACAAATAAGCTTCATACACATTTATAACAGGCTTGTAAATGGCATGTTTGTATGCAGCTTGACAGCCAACTGTAGTTTCCTACTAAACCGGTCCAGCTACTCATTTCAGTGGCCTAACTAACCCCCTCATTTGCAACCGCGGACTGAAAACGCATTGTGCTATTTTAGAGGCTGCATCCAACCGTGCGCCGCATCCCATTTGGGTCACTCAGGGGGGATGTCGGCCAGTGTCCGTCCCGCCCAGCCGCTCTGCAGGTTAAAGCCAACAGCCAATCGCCTCCCCCAATCCCCCCACCCCCCCCACACGCCTCTGCCGCCTCATTGTCCGCCCGACGCGTCAATCAAACCTTAAGCCGCCAGGCGTCTTTCAGCCTTATTGCATCAAACTTCCATTTCCCCGGCGATGATTTTACGCGATCAGTGATGATCTAATGCAAGAGGAGGGTGACCATCCCTACCCCCTGCTCCAAAAAATAAAAAAAAACAGCTAGAAAAGGCTGCCTAGTAGAGATGCGGCTGTTGCGGCAGGCGTTAAGAGCCGGGTGAGGATGACTGAGCCGTGCGTTTTAGAGCGATCGGGAGGGTTTGGTTTGGGGTTTGGGTACAGGGGGGGGCTCACCGATCCGCTGGCCCACGGGCGTGCTGAACGGGTTCCCCAGTAGAAACTCCATGGTGGTTGGGGTCGGTGAGGGATCCCAGCGGGGCCGGGCCGGGTCGTGCGTCAGGAGGCGCCGCTCTGCGCAGACTGCCGCTGCCCGCTCCACCAAAAAAAAAAGTGGGGCAAGCAGAGGGACTGCGTCACGCTTTTAAAGGGAAAGCGGCCCGCAGACAGCAGATGCTCGGCGTCAGGTCGGTGGAGTGGTCAGACTGCGCCCCGCGCGGTCTGCAACCGTTCCTGCTCCTAAAAACGCACCGCTTCCAGACCGAGAAAAGGAAGAAAGACACAAAAAAGAGGAGAGCGCTGCAAGAAAAAAAGGAAAAAGGATGCAATCCACTTTTTCTACCACTGCAAGATGGAGAAAACCCGAACTGAGACCTCTGACAGCTGACCAGTAGTACTGTTCAATCTCTGTAAAGGATATAAACAGAAAGAAAAAAAAAGAAGTATAGAGAAACTAATGGAACAGTCTATGTGAACATTAATAATCAGAATTTGGTCTATTGATCAAGTGTTTTTTTTTACATACGAGGAATTTGCCGTGGTTTAGGTGTCCAAACAAGCAACGTGAACTGAGGATTAATTAAAAAATAAAATATTAAAAAGGGAAATAAATCCATAGATTCAACAATTAAACACTAACATTGTAATCCTCAGTACTTATTAAATAAACCCCTGATCTTTATGGTCCACAGACAAATGAGGAGTGGGCAGCAGTGACCAACATTGACGTCATTGGGGTCATCAGGTGGGAACCAGACTGTCTCTTCTACCATATAATTGACATAGAGATATAAAAACTGAACACAATTACCCCAAAAGGTTCATAGTAACCATAAAACCTTGAGTGGGACGGTCTGATTCGACCTCAGGTAGAATCAAACACTGGTGTGTTTGCATGAGTTTGTATTTGTGCACGCAAAGCTGTTGTGTGTCCATTCCCACCAGCTTTCCTCCTGAACAAGAAAACAAATAACGCAACTTAGCTAAACAAAATGAGGTTTCAATCCCAAGGCATATTTCTTTTAACTGTCAAGCAGGAGAAGCAGGAGGATAGAGACAGATGAAATTTTAGAAAACACTTTACTCTGTTTTTCTAACTTCGGAACAACCTCACTTCCTTGTTTTTCTCACCGGACAAAACAAATCAATTGGATGCCAGATGCTGGACTAAGGTCAAGCAGATTCAACCGAATGTCTTAAAGACGCCGTGGTAAATGATCTCAAACATGAATGACATGAACTTCTGAATTAACTTAACTTTACAGCAGCATCTGGGAAAGGTCAGCCATGTGGGGATAGAAAAATGGATGGAAGCACTGTTAGCTCATTTGTGTTTTTTTCTGCCACAAGGGTGTGCTGCCTGACCTGACAGAACGGTCAGGACCAGTTTGCGGGGAAGCACGGTTTGAACAGGGCGTGAGTGACGCACACACAGTGACTCACTGCCCGGTCCAGAACAGGATTTTTACTCTCTCTCTGACCGTGCACACTCCTTTCATACAGTTTGCACCAGCAGGTCACACAGATTTGCCTGTTAGAACGTCTCTTTGAATTTTCTTTGGTACTTTTCGCTCTTTTTGTAGCATCTCCTCCTCTCACCACCTCATTTTTCTCTCTTCTTGTGGTGTACGACCATCAACATGACCGCCATCCAGCGTTGGACCAGAAATGACTGACCCCAACTTAACCCTGACCCTAACCAATCAAATGTCAGACCCATGTAATCATTTGTTATTCGCTCCAAATGTAACTTCTTTTTGTTTATTACTCACCTCTATCCACTCTTGCAATTGCAAACAACCCATTTCTAAAATATTCTAGACCTTCTTGCCTAATGACCCATCAAATCTCCAGCTTTACACACAGTTTGCAGAATCTTCGGTCTTTAAAGGTGTTCTTTTTCTTTGGCTCCGGCATGTATTTTGGGAATGAAAAGCAGTCTTTCATATTTTGTCAGTCAGCCCTCTCAGCTGAAGTGACGTTCATCCTTTCGGATCAGGTTTGGGACTGGGATTGGACACCATTTCCATCATTGTGTCTGCTCTCATGAACGAGAGAGAGCATTTCTCTCTTTTTCACTGTGTGTTCCCGTGCAAAAGCTAACAGTTATTTGCAGAAAACTGCCTGAAGACAGACAGAATACAATTAATCTAAGTTAGTTCTTTTTTAAGTGCCTTTCACAATGTTTTAACAAGACCTTTTCACCAATATTGTTACAGAACAGGATCTTGTTGCTCTTCTATAATTATAGTATGGAGACAAATGCATAAAAGAAATAGTTTCTGGTTCCATGCTGCTGTGAATGATACAGGCACATATCTCTGTATTGTTTATGCAGATGCTGTGCCGTTGCCACAGAAGCAGCTGATAGGCGACGCTCTCTTTCAGAAATCAGCTTCAGAGTGTAGCTAAATGCAGCTCAGCCTACACACCAATCAGTTTTTGGCAACAGGTTCAGAAACCCAGACAAAGAAACACGAAATGAAAACTTTAAAAGAAGTAATAGATCTCATAGAGAGGCTGTCACCCACTACGATAAAGAACAATTCACAGGGAAATATCAGGATCTGTTTGTCCTTTTCCTTTTATGGCGAAATAAAAGATGGTTGGAAACGGAAACATAAAAACGCTCGAGTCCAACAGGTCAACCCGAAAAGCCGGTGTGCTGGTCACCCAGATAGCTGGAATGTCACGGGCACAGTCTCAGTCAGTTTGATTATCATCAACCCTGAACAGAGACTAAATTCAGATTCAGTGCACATCCAATTTTCTTTTTGCTCCTAATTCATTTAACATAGCACCACATATATAAAACAGAAAGAGCTAAACTGGGACACTTTCTGGGTCACAAACACATAACTATGGTTTGCAGAGAAGGAAACTGTCACATTTTGGTGAAAGCGTAAAACTGAATGAATTTCCCAGGTTTTGATTTTAAAAAAGCCTACATTTTGAGCGAATAACTGCCAGACTGATCCAATAACTGTGTTCTACTATGTGTCAATCAAAAACAACATATTGCAGCAGACTATGGAAAAGGAAGAAATATGAAGGGTACAAAAACCACTCACTTTTGTACTTTTTTGTGATTGGCTAGTCAAAGCTTATGCGTGTGAAAGGTACGAATTTTAAAATGTCAGATTTCTAACCCAGGATAAAAAACAAAGCACAAAATTGAACAGAGTTCAACTCTTTTCCTTAGATCTGCAGCAATACGATGCACACATCCTCAGGCAGTTTCATCCAGCATTTAATTACCGTGGGCAGGCGGTTGTGTGTCTACGCTCGCAGCATGCAGCCCGGTGATTAGTCTGCTCAGCCTGAAAATTAAAGACGGTGGAGAGCGCCGCTCGCCTCTGCGCAGGCCTGTTTATCGGCAACCAGCTGCGATGGCCTTTACCAGCTGCCACGAAACACACACACACACACACACAGCAAGAGAGATGCGTTACTGACGATAGCCTCAAAGAATGGCTGTAAATGAAGTGAATATTCTGATAAATCAGTTTCCTGTGTGGCTATATGTGCCTGTCTGTTTTTTTTTTAATGTCCACCTAAGGTCCTCCGTTGGAGGAAGTGGATGTGTAACCCCACAGGATGAGTCATCGGTGAACGCGGCGGGCTCGTGTGAGGGGAGGGGAAGGCAGCCGAGACAAGTTATGTGGAACTGAAACCATCTGCTTTCCTCCTCTTAGCGGTGAACAACAATACCCCCAGCCAGCGCCGCGCACGCACGCAACACCCTGCCAGCCCGTTGTCATGGCAGTGAAGCCAGGGACGATGCCTGAACGTTCTCCGGAATAGCTGAGGTGTTTCTTTCAAGGCATCATGGCAGATTTACGTTGGAGCCCTCAGCTGCATCAGACAGAATGTTTTAGATCAGCTTGCTAAAGAACAAATTGAAAAAATTAGTTTTTAATAAGACAAGCAGAATGGTATATTCTTTTCATAAAAAAAGAACAAAAAATTGGATTATTTTCTCTTATTCTGATGATAATGAACAATTATGAAGGGAGTTATTCTTATGTGCAGGTGGATGTTATCTCAGTAAAAACAAAAAAAAACTGACTTGAATGTGAAGGGAAAAAACTGATAAATAATGAATGAGGTATTAATAAGCTACCGGATCAGTGAGGCACCTCGGTCTGTTGCTGAGACACTCGGTGTGCTCATTATATTTGTCCAGAACATACGTGCAACACGTGCAATCTGCCTGCACAGGATTTTTAAGCCATGTTAAGCACAAAGAAGCAGATTCACTCAGCTGCAAAGAAACAACAGAAGAATAACTGAACAGTGGTTGAGCAGGAAGATCAGCATCAGGTGCAGCTGAAGAGAAGGGAAAATGCCAATCGGCTTCTGTTTTTGTATCATGATAGCAAATCCAGTTATCAAATCATGACGAATGTCAAAGTCCAAATTATAACAGGGTTTCAAAACATGACAAAAACAAAAATCACACACTTCGTCAGAATGCCGAGCTACTGTACACTGTTATTTTTAAATGGTGATTTTGTTGGATGAAAAGAAAAATAGAAAAGAAAATCTGGTTGTTAGATCAATGCTTTGGAGTGGCTGTCTAGTTCATGTGGATTTCTGAGAATAGACTCACAATCTGAGGCCAATCAATGAGAAGGACAGCTTTTGTATTAATATAAAATTTCCTTTAGTGTTTTTACAGAAAAATACAAAGACTGATACAATGATCCCAGAAACCTGTCCGCTTACAAGTAACTCCTTATTTTCCAATAAGGACCATGACATATCTCTAATATAACAACTCTACAAAGCTTATCCACTCACAAAATGATAGTAAATCATGGGCACATCTTTTTTTTTTAAAACATATATATGGGTAAGCCATTGTAAAAGGCAAATACTAGGCAGATCAAGTCCTACCCATCTTATTATACCTCTCATCAAAGCAACTGGAGACTGGCAAGAGTATTTTGCTCCCTGGGGGAGATCTATGTTTACTCAGTTTCATGCATCGCAAATGGATAATTACCCCGTCAGAGCAGCCCATAATCATATCCAATTACCTCAACTGGGCAAGAGTCATTAGTATGATGGCAGCCGGCCTCCCTGCTGTAAGACCTTCGGAGTAAACAGAGGATTTCACAGCAGCAAATCACATAAGGATGTTATTCTGCGTCTCTTTGACTGGGTAATTAAATACCACGTGAGAATTAACAGGCGGACACAATAAAATACGCTGATGCACCGAGAAGACTCTGAACGTGTAAACAGGTTGGCGGCGACTTTTCCCTCCGGACGCCGCGTCACATGATGGAACAGGTCAGTCCGCAGCAGTCTCTCAGCAGGGTCAGCCCGGTTTTGGGGATGAAGGGGCCCGAGGGCCGCTGGGGTTTGGGTACCACCTTTCGATTCAGCAGATCACCTGAAAGAGGACACAAGACAAAAAAACAACAATAACTCTAAATCTCTGCAATTACTTTTTAAATTTTGTTTAGAAAGGGATTTATTCCACCTGTAAAACGGCTAATATTTGTTTTTGTTTTTTCCTTTCATTCTTGCTGATTGCTAAGGTGAAGCACAGATTAAATGACTCACTAGATTCCTAATGAAAAGTAAGATGGTTTTTCATTATTCTCAGAGTCTTTTCATTGAGTCGGAGCCTGACACTGGTGATTACCGGCGATAAATCCCGGCATCAGAACCCCCGATGAAGGGATTGCGTTATCTGTTGCTTTGAGGTGTGCAAAGCTGGGCAGTTTGACAGGACATAGGAGCTGACATGTAATCATAGCTACAGAAAACATACCCTCTTTCTTTATGTTCCTAAAGATTAAGGAGAAGGCTAAGAAGACCTGTTTTGGATCAAATGTTTGCAGATGGTTTAACTCACCTTTTCCACTCAGTGGTTTGGGAAATTTCGATTGTAAGAAAGCCGCCATCTCTCTGTCTTCTTCTCTTTCCCTGTAAAGAAGAGCGGTTCCTTAATTTTAATCAGCGATGAAACAGGTTTGATATTTTTTCCCCTCATATCTTGTGTTACTGTATATATGGGCTGACACGAGGTGGAATAATAATGGGATACGGCTTCTCGCCTTGGTTTTCAATCATTGAAACATCACCGGGTAGCATCTCCTGTCTATCAGTAACAGCCGATCTAAAGGCAATAATAACATACGCCACGGTGTTTTTCTTTTCTATCTTTTTTTGCAGCATTGGCAAGATTCAAGGCTTTTCTGAGAGCAGAGCTGTCAAAAAGCTGCTTTTCAAAACTGGCTGGATCAGTGGTGTGAGATGGAGCAATTAAGAGTTTATCATAGAATAATAAAGGCCACGTTTTATATTCCGATTCATCAGCGGCCCCGTCTCGAGGAGCTCCAGGCTGAACTGTAAACCCCCAGTCTGTGAAATGAGTTAGTGAACAGAACAGCTGCGCCCCTTCCCGTCAGACCCCGCCGCTCATATCTGCTTCGGCATTCTGGATTGGTTCGGAATGGCCTCACCTGAGCCTTTCAAACTCCACGTCATCCACCAGGAAGTCCCTGGTCTCCACCAGTTTTCCCAGCTGCCTCAGCAGCTCGTCCTCTCTCTCCTTGTCCTCGTCGCTCTTGTCTTTGTCTGTTTAACAGTCACACGAGCAGCGTTACGTTAAAAAAAATACAGAGAGGTGCACGGGTCTCTTAGTAACAGCTAAGTCCTTGCCGATGATTCATAGGTTTCTTTAAAAAAAAAAAAAAGAAAAAGTGTGATCCATTGCAGGTTGAATTGGTTTGCCGCTATCCATGTACAGCGACCTGAGCAAGACATATTTTGACATAAAGCGCCTGAAGCCGATCCAGTGACTAAGAAAACAGGTCATTGTGAGTTTTCTGTTAGCAAACACCCAAGTGGATCCCATTCACAGTAATGCTAGGACCCCAGGTGGACCCAGCACATTCAGTTAAAGTCAACAGACCCAATTTGGGTCGAAATGGAAACCTCTCTTCCTCCATTTCTTAATTTTTGACATCAATGCCTTAATATAAACTTTAAAAATGAACATGTTTTCCATCTGAACTGCTATTGTGCTGGCAATGGCTACATAAACACACCTCATGTCCTTCTTTAGAGAAGTGATCCCTGGGCTGAAAAACACCTAAATTACTATGGACGCACACACAAACAGAATGAGGGGGATTCTTTGTTGACCTGGAATGGAGACCAGCTTCTGCAGCTCCTGCTTCAGTCTGGTGATTTCCTTGCAGAGCTGGATGTCGTCCATCCTGAGCAGAAGACAAAGAGGTGGTGAATTCTGGCCCTGGATCTGGTCCAAGTTGCGTCATGAATCAACTGATGCAAGAGTTAAAGTGTCATTAGAGAAAGGTTTTAAGGGATCGACTTAAACCAGGGCTCCTTTGGTTAAATCAACTCTAGCGTGCACTCAAGGGGGGATTCAAAGAGGACTCCCTATTGGCTGAAATAACCTTTCCAAGCTGCCCTGTGGGAGTGATTCCCACCTGGCAGTATCAGATCTGGTTTAACCCCCTGATTTTAAAACACAAAGACCTCTTAGGAAAATGGCTGGTCTTTGTACACCTTGTTTGATTGGATAGTTTCTCAGTTGTTACATTTTCGGTCATTGTTCTGGGCCAGCAGAACAGACCGCTAACACAACAGTCCTGATCTGGGATCCAGACTCATAGTCGGAGCATTTTTGTCGAATACTTGAAGCGTCGTGTCGATTTTCCCTTGCGAATCACGTATTTCCTGTTACGATGCTGCGCATGTGAGGGGGATGTCATGCCTCGAGCGGAAGCCTCGAAGCATTTGGTATTTTGTTTGACATCAGAGACAGGGAACATAATCTATATGCAAACCTGATTGTGGATGCGTGTCCAATGTTTGACAGTTTGAAAAATATTACTGAGCTACTTGTCAAGTGCAGGCCAAAAGAAGAAAACAAAAAAAAACAACAAAAAAAACAACTACAAATGGTTAATTAGAAAAACCAAACTAGAAACAAGACATAAACAAAAACCCAGAGCCTTCAAACTAACCCCAAACTTAGAAAAGGAGCTCAAGACACTGGAGAAACACAAGTAAAGCAATGAGGTAGTAACACGGCAAGAATCTGACAAATTATCACACAACGAATCACAAGAAATGGAAGACAGACACCAGAATAAAGACACAAGAAGTATGGAGCAGAGAACTAACCGAACAGACACATCTGACCAGTTTTTTCCCCCCAATTGGATGTTTCAATTTTTGTTTTCCTTTCAGGCATGAACAACCAGTGTTGCATTCTTACCAAACGGGGACATAGGATGTACTGTTGCGTTCAGCGTGTAAAACACATCTAAATGTTTCTGACAGGCAGATCTTACATGTATCTCAGCTCCGACTCCCTCCTCACCAGGACGTCTCGTATCCGCTCGATCCTGAACAGCTCTCCCTCGATGTCCTCCACCGTGACCGTGGAGTCGGCCATGGAGATCACGTCTTCTCCTGGAGGACAGACACAGGCAACAGCACACTTTCAGCAGTCCTCTGAGGTGTCACTGTACGATATCCCATCACGTTCAGCTATCAGTTATCAGCGGTTCAAGCGAAAACGTAAGAGGGCTTCCAGTCCCTCGCAGCATTTTGTTTATGTCTCTTAGAGAGTTTGCAAAAGTGTGGCAAGAACTGCTTTTTGAGAAGTTTGACAATAGTAGCCTGAGGATTTGTGCCGACACAATCCTAGAGTCGATGCAAGCCAGTGGTTTGTTCCAAATTCATGTAGTAAGACGAAGAGTCCAGTCCTTTACGGGAGCGTGACTGAAAAAAGGCTAAATTTGTTGTGTCAGAGTTAAAGCCAGCTCACTGCTGCGTGTAAAGGACAGAACTTGGTGTTCGCTGAGTGACACGATAGGCTGCGAGTGAACAAATGGACAGCTTGTGTAGTCCTGGGGAAAAGAAAACAAATGAAAAAGTCCAAATAAGGCCTTGGACTTAGTCTTCTGCTTGATGGACACACGGCGGATTTAAATTTGCACAGTGAAAGTCACTTTGTTGGGAAACACTCGTGACAAGCGGAGGTCAACGTGTCTAAAAGCCCAAGTAAAATCACCACTGACACCCTAAAATATGGATCGCTCTTCAGTTATCTGTAAAACCCTCTGTGGATCCCACTCAGAGGGCTAATGTGATGTGACTGGAGCACCGGCAGCCCTCTACTCCCCACCAAGAGCAGGAGATGAGTCACGCAGCAGAGCTGGTTCTGGCCGTTAATGACCCGGCCTTGTGCGTGGAGACATGGCCGCCACGCCGCCTGGCTGTGAGCAGCGGGGGGGCGGCTGAACGCCTCCTGAAATTCCCCCGCAATGATGCTCAGCTCCCTGTAAGGCTGCAGTGTAAGAGACAAACACGCTCCAGAGCAGGATCGCCCTTTGCTTTTCTGTGGTCCCGAGCACTCTGACAGGAGCCAAGCACACTTTCCAAACTGCTCTCAATGTTTAGCTTCACACCGATACATGAGATAGAGCAAGTTTACTTAAATATCTGATAGAAACGGTGGTGATTTAAATACAGAACCAAGAAAATATTTTAATCAAACCACTGACAGAAACACAAGCTGAAACTGTTTGATTTCTATTCTGATCATTGAGTTAAAAAACCAAAAATGTGTCTGATATTAATTCCTATTTCTCATAACTAACATACTGTATAATATCATCAAACTATACCTTTCTGTAGTGCCTTATTTTAAATTATTGCACTTCTTAAAAAGAAAACTTTATGAAGGTCCACTTGCTATTCATCTATGGGGCCTAAGAAGTGTTTTTCCTCTACTTTATTGAAACACTAACACATGAAATTATACATATTAAAGGTTGGGGATACATTATAAATAGAACTTAATAGTGAGGACCAGCTGACCCAAAATAGTAACTCCAGTGTCCCTTAGCTGGACACTGAGGTTTAAGCTGTGAAGTTCAGCTTTTGCTCCTCTTTGGGCTCTGAGGGGAGGGAGGGTCACTCCAAACGTCACGCCCAGAAGCGCATAAACAAATGCATTTAAACGAATAATTTAATGATATATTCAACATGAACTTCTCCTACAATGTACAAATGATTCATACGGCACCCCTCCCACAGTCCACAGACTTGAAAATGCTCTCTGCGGCCCTGAACGCAACTTTTATTTGATATTCACAGTTGCTTTGGGCACGCTGCCTCCTCACTCATCTCTCCACGCACGCCCGTGCCTCCCGGAGCCCGGATCCGGCTGAACGCGGCGCGTTTTCCGGGCTGAAAAACTCACCTGATCTCTCCCCCGGTCCGTCCACCTGCGTGGCTTCCGACGCGCCGGACTGCTGAGAGGATTTTCTCTCATTTTCCATAGCCGCACAAAGAAATAAATAAAGATGTATGGCTTCTTTTTTCAACGCTTCTGCCGCGGAGAGAAGGAGAGAAAAGATCAACGCGCGGCGTCTCCGTTAACCGGGAGAAATAAGAGAGGACGGGAAGCCGCTCACGGGCGCCGCCTGCCGTTCAGCGGCCGCGCACGCACGCACGCACGCGCGGGGAGAAAAACGGACGCGCTTCCGAGAGCACGCGGGATCCAGATGTCGTGCGCTCTGGAGCCGGCATCTGGATGCACGCAGAGGCTGCCATTGAGTCCAGGAGAATGCGTCCAGACGCACATCAAATGGAAAAAGATTGATGTTAATCCTCTCTATTTTAAATGTTTTTAAATTAATTAATGAATAAATTAATTTTTCTAATGTCCTTATTTGAGCTTTAAGGAAATACCTGTGCTCACAGCCTATTCAGCTTGTGACAAGATGGGAAATGTAAATTATTAGGAGATAAAACATTTTAGAACCTGGTAGGTTGATATTAATGTAGTTCTCATTCCCACACCGGAGGCTGACTTTCCTCTTCATGTTGCACAAACATGACATTTCATAACCCCGTTTCAGACTAAGCGTAGAGTTCCACTCCATTTGTTAGCCTTCATCTATTTCCGGGCCTGAAACGTCGTTGACACGGGCACTTTGGGGCCAGTCATGATGTGAGAAACGTAAATATTAATAAAAGAAAGGTCAAAACGATGGAATTCCAACTCTAGAATGACAGCTCTAATAACTCAGTGTACAGTAGTGCGTTAAAAGAGCAGTCATCCTCTGAAAATCTGAAGGTATTAAGGATTTTTTTATTTTTTTAAACCCCCTGTCGTAGACCTGAAACGTAAAAAGTGCTAAATAATAAATAAATGAGGCCGACGTCACCAAAGTCTACAAGTTGGATCGGTTTTAATTTGCAAAACGCCTGAAATTCCAAATAAACGTACGACTCATTACCTGCTTTTTTTCCTGATTTGAGCTAATGTGCCATCTGATGTCCTACAGACCCATCTGATATATGTACATTTAGCAAAAAAAACACCTTAGACGACAAAGCGTCCGACTTCCTGCAGTTTAATAAGCACAACAAACACTTCTCACTTTCATTGCTTCTTTTTTTTTCCTTCCTCCCCCAATCACAGCTTTGGTTCTATGACTGGGACAGAAATAACTGCTGCCGGTGGTGAGCAGCGTGTGTGTGTTTGTGTGTGTGGGTGGGGGGGGCTGACCTCCTGACCCCCTTGCGTTTGCTCTTTCTCTCTGAGAACTCCGTGTTTTTACTCTCATGTGGGTCGAGCAGCTTTACAGAAGGCGGTTCCTCGTCCTTCCCTCCATAATCCTCCTGCTCCTGTTTCAAACAAACAATTCCGGCCACGTGAGCTCACACACACACACACGTCTGGACAAACCGGGTCTTCCAGGACGGACGGGACGACGTGAAGTCCTTCCTGACGTTTAAAGCCGAGCCCCGGACTGGGAGTGACCGGGCCTTTTGGTGGAAGTGTCTAGAATCCGGACCCGGGAGGAACCCGGGCGCCCGGCGTCTTCCCGTTGGCGTGCTGGCGGCAGTCCTCGTCCATGGCTCTGTCCAGCCAGTCCCTCTCCTGCTCGGACCCGGAGTCGCTGGCCTCGCTGCCGTCGGCGGCCAGCAGGCGGGAGTAGTTGACCCGGCGCCGGAGCGGCGCCCGCCACTGGAGCAGGGGCAGGCAGGCGCACCACGCCATCAGGGCCACGCCCACCCCCCTGAACAGCCACGCCAGGCCGAAGCGCTGCGCCACCAGCCCGCCGCCCAGGCTGCCCAGCCCGCCGCCCAGGCCCCGGGACAGGGCGCCGTACAGCCGCCGGACGCTCCTCTCGGCCCCCGGCGCGGCCACGTCCTCGCTCTGGACGCCCAGCGCCCACCAGACGGCGCCGGCGCCGAGGCAGGTCAGCGGCTGGGCGGGCAGGGCGGCCCAGGGCCCCCACAGGAAGGAGTAGTAGAAGCTCTGCAGCGCCAGGCCGGCGGCGCCCGCCACCAGCACGCGGCCGGGGCCCAGCAGCCGGGCCAGCCGGCCGGACAGCAGCGGGTAGGCGGCCTGGGAGAGCGCGGCCAGGGCCAGGGCCAGGCCCATGTGCAGCTGACCGCTCCCGTGGTCCTGCATCTGCCACAGGAGGAAGTCCTCGGCGGCGGCGCGGGCCGCCCCCGCCGCCACGGCGGTGACGGCGGCCAGCCGGGCGCGGGGGCAGCTGGCCACCAGCCGCAGGGCCTTCAGCGGCCCGCCGGACCGGCTGACCCGTCCGGCCTTCCCGCCGGCGTGCAGGGGCAGGCAGGCGGCCAGCGGCAGGGCCAGGACGGCCAGCCCCGCGTAGCCGTAGAAGTGGACGCCGGCGGCCAGCGGGCAGCCCAGCCGGCCGGCC